GAGACTGAGATTGTTAGTTGACAATTCAAAACGCCCTAGCCTCCTGCATCCCTTGCTATCCAAAGGGATGAGTAAATCAAGATGATATACTACCTGAGAAAATGTTACATTTTCTTTGCCTGTCTGAGCACTCATGAAACCTTCTACTCTACCATCATAGACTAAGATCACATTAGTTTTTTGGGGGATGGAAGTAAAGATCACATTCTTGAATTATACTGCGCTTACTAATGAGTAAAGGCCCCTACCCTTTAAGAGGTAAATTTGCAAATTATTATAGGACTCTCACTGCTTTCCCTTACTCATGTTTCCCCCTCCTCCCCTCAGTACTGAGGATTGAATCCGGGGCCTCACATGTGCTAGGCAAGTGCTTTACCACTTGAGCTACACTTCCAGTCCTTTTGGTTTTAGAGAGACAGGCTGCTACCTTTTGCCCAGGATGGCCTTGAAGTGCGATCCTCTTGCCTGCCTCCTGAGCAGCTGGGTTACTGCAGTCTCTGATTCAATAGGTCTTAGGTGGAATCGGGGAATGTGCACACCCTAAGTTCCCGGGTATGCTGATGCTCTCGTTTGCAGACCACACTGTGAAAATTAGTGTTAAAGTCCTAGTTTGTGGAGAGAATGTATTCTGATTTTACTCCCACAAGCATACAACATTAGTGTTCCCTCCTCTAACATACAAAAAATGAGTATCCTCCCTGATTTAGAACTTGATTTCTAGGGTTTGTCAATAAAAGAATACCATTTTCCCCTACCCAGAACAAAGACTTTTAAGACTGATGAAATCCAGTGCTGCAGAGGCTATGAAGAAACAGGCACTACCCTCTCATGCCCTGCTGGTGAGCTAACAAATGGCTGTCCTTTTTCTGGAGAGCAACCTAAGACCTCGTTCATCCAGACCTCTTTCAGAAACCCCACAGAAGTGAGTATGAATCATGTTCACAGCAACACCTTTGAGTTAGAAATAACCTGTGTCCTGTGATAAAAGAAATAACAAAATGAGCACCAAATCATGACAGGTACTTGCTTGAGCAAGCGCATGGGTATTTCTACGATTTAACCACTGAACAGCCTTCTACAGTATGCGCCGTAACAACAAAAAGATATTCTGCAATGAAATTTGAGTGTTACTCAATTGCTGAAATTTAAATGACAACATGAAAATCCACTAACATTCTAGGAAACTACTTATGCACTTACCAAACTGTCATTATTTTTCTTCACTCCTTAGAGACTTCATAAAGCTCTACCCAATTCCCCTCACTTGCTCATGTAGGATTAAATGAGAGGAAATTGGCTTTGAGCCTATGCTTCCACTGAATCTCGTTTACTTTCACTTGAGTTTCTCCAGTGTTTTGCATGCCTTTCATGTCCCCACATACCGTTTGCTTTTTTTGTTTTGTTGGTGCTAGGGATCAAACCCAGAGCCTTGTGCTTAAGTACATGTTGTACTACTGAGATGCACCCCTAGCCTCCCCTGACCCATGCAGTTTAAAAACTTTAATTTGAAACAGTAGTTACAGACTCACAAGCAGTTGCAAATGTACCTCTCACCAGCTTCTCCAATGAAGACATCTTACATAACTGTAGTCCATTATCAATCAGTTAAGAAAATCCTACATGTGCTTCTAACAGCAACCCATAATTTAGATGCAGTTTTAATACAAAGTTAGTACTAAACATGAGGAAAAATGTGAAAAAAGAGGCACGAGGATGGAGTATAACCCTGTCTTGGAGATAGAAAACGCATCCTCTAGTTGTAACACTGCTGTAACAATGCAAGTAGGACTAGTGAGTCACTTCATGTTTGGGGTTCAGATTTATAAGCTGAAAGATGAGGGGAGGAGCTAAGCCACTAGTCTTTCCCAAAGTCTAAATTCTGAGTGACATTTTATGATAGGAGGCTGTTTTACCATATTTAAAATCTTAGTATCAAGACAGACTGTGCATTAACAGAACTATCTTAGAAAGCAGTTTAGCAAAAGCTGCCACAATTCAAAATGTTCACACTTTTGCCCTAGCAATTCCATATTTATAAATCTAGCTTAAAGAAACATGCCAACAAGGCAATGATACATTTTCAAAGATCTTACAGCAAGGTGGAGAGGCTCAAGGTGTGGGCCCTGGGTTCATACCCCAGTACTGTAAGCAAATAAATAAATAAATCAAAAAGATCCAGAAAAAAAAAAAAGATCTTATAGCAAGTTGTAATTGTGAAAAACAAGGCACTGATAATGATACATTTAGACAATACTACACAAATGTACAAAGTATGGATATTGAAGGCATTCATAATATACTGTGAATGGAAAAAGTTACATTAGTTACATGCAGTATCTAGTGTATACATAATGTAAAAAGATCTGTATACATCTGAATAATTAAGCACTGATCACCCAACACACATTTAAAAGTTCAGTTTCTCAGATTTCAGATGTACCTGTATTGGATTCTGGTATGCCATGGAGAGTATTTCTGACTTTTCTGTCTCACTGGACTACTTGTCAATACAAACCTTTTAGTTCATGCAGCAACATGTCATGCATGCCTTTGTGTCCTACTTTATACAGTTAGTATAGACAAATCGGTGCCTTATTTTTCAAAATTTACAAAACTATAGATGTAAGAACTATGGAAGTGTCTCATTGCTTATTCACTCAGTTAAGCTAAATCAATAGATATGGAATTGATAAAATAAGAAATGCACATGTTAAAATTCTGACAGCTTTTCCCAAGGACAATTTAGAGTATGTTTTAATTTCTGGTAGGTCTGCCTCCCCTCAGCCCCACTTTTTGTTAAACAATATGGTGTGCCTTCCATTTCTTCGTCAATTTTGTCTTTCAAGAGTTTCCTTTTTTTAAAAACAGAAATTTCTCATAGGTTTTAGGCATGACTTATTAACTTTATACCTAAGTTTTATTTTGTAATAAAAAATGGGTCTTCCCTTGAACTGTATCTTCTAGTTAATTCAGGGTTGTATGTTTATATCTGTGTCTATCTATCTATATATATATATATATATATATGAAAACTTTTATTTTTACTAAACATTTTTATTGAACTGTAACTATACATACAGAACAGTGCACAAATCCTGAATGTACAGCTTGATAAATATTCATAAAATGAATGCACCTATGTAACCAGCACCTGGATCAGGATCAGAACATTACTAGCACCACAGAACCCCTTGTATTCTCTCCCAGAGCCAAAGAAGCCAGGTAAAAAATGATGCACACTATGGTTCCACTCACACAAAGCTCAAAAACAAACATACCTAAGCGATGATGAATCAAGTCATTATAGCAGAAACTTGTGGGAAGGAAGTGACTGAAAGGGAGTAATCTGAGACAACATGCATGAACTCTGCCTGTTTCAAACTTCATCTAAATGAAATCAGAGTATGCATTTATTTGTGTCTAGTGAAGGCTGCCAATAGCTAGATGTTAACTGTATTTGATTGCTACTTTACTAAGTTCTTTTATAGTTTTTCAATAAATTCATTCGGGTTTTCCAGATATACAATGCCTACAAATAGTTTTACCTCTTCCTAATTCACATTTGTTTTTCTAACTAACTCCTGAAACAGTCCAATGTTAAGCAGCAGAGGAAACAGTAGGCATGTGTCTTACTACTGACTTGAGTTAGAAAAACTGTCTCAATGTTAAGATGCTGGCTTTTGGGAAGAGGTAAATGTTAGTGAATTATTCATGTACTAAATGAGTTTAACAGGAGCACCTAATTCTAGCAAATGTCTTTTAACTTGTAACATGATGAATTGAACATGATTGTCTAATATATGTTGAATTATCTTACATTCCTATAATAAACTCAACTTAGCCATAATTTACTACCTTTAGAAAGTGCTATTATATGATAACTTTTGCATTGGTATTTGATTGGCCTACAACTTTCATTTTGGTACAACCTTTATCAGGTTTTTTAATCAATACAAATTTGGAAGTTTTTTATTTTGGCAATTTAAGGTTTGTTTTTCTAGTCTCTGAAATTATTTAATCTTAAATGTCTGATAAAGGGTCCTTTATTATTCCAGTTTTGAAGACAAATGGCATCATAGTAAATACACATATGCTATTATAATTGCTTTTTTAGGTTCTCCAGTATTTGGTTTTTGTCTTAGTCATGTCTCACTGGTATGTTTTTGTTGTCTGTGGGGACACTTACCTGTTTATTTTCTTACTTCTTATACTAACTGCAATCTGCTCAATTTCATTTTTTTAAAAAAATGTGAAATGAGTTTTCTTGTGCTTTTAGAAGGAATGTTCTAAAGTGACTTTTCCAGATTCATGGACCTAGAGATCCCATTTATTGTCACAGTGATTTAAATGATCATGTATGTTGTATTTGTGTCTACTGACCTTCCTCATTTATCCTGCCTCTTTCATCTTGTCCAATTTGCATTTTAATTCTAGCTGTTTTTCCCCAGTGCTGGGTTTTGTCTCATCAATTTCAAGAAGTACACAGTATAAGGTGCAGTCTGCTCCAGTACAACCATCAGGCAGACCTTATCATGCTGCTTTAACTCTTGCCTGCAGAGGGACTGTTGTTTTTTGTTTTCCAGAAGGGACTCTGTAAACTCTTCCCAGTTTCAGCTCTGTTCTCATATTGGCTCACTGCATTTTGCAGTGACAAACTGTTCTCCAATTTGCATGAGTCTGGAAACCAGCTGCCTGCCTTTTTCTTCCTCCCACACCAAAAAACTGCTGAAGCTAAGTGGTCAGTGTTGGTTCTCATTTACCTGTTTTCTGAGGTTCACAAGTTTTGTAGACATTGTCTGTGTCTATCGTAGTTACTCTGCATCCTTGTGGAGATTCAAAGCCCACTCTTGCTGCCATCATCTTCCCTGAGTTTAAACTGTTAAGACCTCAATTATAAAGAGGCTTTAAAAATAATTTTTGATTATGAAAGATTCCTATAATTAGGAATTTTCTATACCCAGGCACTGTGCTGCATGCTTTATATGTCTTAGGTCATTCAATCCTTCATCAGCCCTGTGAGTTAAGTTTTACTATTTTCCTCATTTTTCCAATGGGGAAACAGGTTCAAGATCGCGCTGCTGAACCGCAGACTACAATTTAAACCTAAATTATCTGACTCCAGAGCATCTTTTTAACAGCTGTCAACTGAGTATCATCAGGTCCAGTGGTTTTCAAATTATATACCACTGTCAGCAAAATTTCCATATGAATTTCATTACTTATAAATAACTACATAAGAATCTAATAAAAACAAACACATTTGATAGCTCAAATCTAAAATCACCGTAGATGATAAATAGGTTAGTAACAGCTTTTCCTACTAACTTCTAAAAAAATATTGCAAGGGGAAGAAGATAACGGAATAGTTATCTGAGACTTCAATCTTTGTACTTCTTGTTACACTACAGCTGAAGAATAGAGTATGTATGTGAAATACTGCTTAAATTTACTTTATTAATATATACTTTTCTTCAAAGTAAGTATTTAGAAAAGTTAGGAATCATTTTCTGCAATTTGATGACCCAATCTTTTTTGGTCAATATGTTTCCATGAATAGTGAACATTCACTGGTCCATAAAGTTTCTTGGAAACTTTGCCTCTCAAAGTGTTATCAGTTAGAATTAGTCTATCATTAACATTCTTTTGCTATTAAATTATTGAAGGAGTTACAAAATATTTATGAATTATTTTATGTTAGAATTTTGCTCTTTCACTTATGAATATAGATAGATCCTACCATTCTTACCTTCTAACCACTGGTTCAGAAAAACAATGGGCTTTTTACATACATAATATTTTAACTCTCAAAGTCTAAGAGATAACGTAGTTCGAGATAGGGATGTCTTAATTTGCCAGGATTTAAACAGAAGCAACTGGAGTAAACCACAGAATAATATCTGTGATTTTCCATCATTGGAAGATTTATTCCTAATCAGGTCTCCCCCCACCCCCATCTCAGTGCTGGGGATCAAACCTTGGATTTACAACACATACTAGGCAAGTGTTCTACTACTGTGCCACACCCTTAACACTGTTTTCTTTTTAATTAAAAAAAAATTTGTAAGCTCAGGTTTAAAATTAAGTATGCTAATCATAAATGAACCATTCTTCTGAGTATACACCAGGTTTCCCTTGGGAAGGATTATTATTTTAGGATATTTTCCTTCTAATTTAGGAAAGAAATTGAGATAAATTTGAGTGATGTCAACAATTTACTTTTTATACTGTCTACAGAGCTAATAATTCAATTTTCATTATTACCGAGACTAACCTGAAGCTAGCTCTTTACTGAGGAAAGCTCCTTTCCATTTCAGCGCTAGACTCGTATCTCCGAATGTCACTAAGTGATGGATGTGATTTAGGATAAGCTGATCCTAATGAGGAATTTTTATGCCATGTCCTTTATGATTAGCTAGCTCACAAAAGACAATGAACACCACCAACAACAAATAATCTGGTTTTCCCTCTAAATGATTATATTTCCCTCCCACTTACCTGTAAATATAAAGTAGAAGTGATTTGTTTGGAGCTGCACCACAGGGTTTACTTGAAGTGGGTCTATGGTTGTACTTAAATTTTACTTCATTAAAAAAATTTAGAAAATTACAGGCTGAGTATCCCTATCCAAAATGCATGAGACCAGAAGAAGCATTTCAGATTCTGAATTCTGTCTAGACTTTGGAATATTTGCATATGTATAAGATATTATGAATATCTTATGGATGGCATCCAAGTCTAAACACAAAATGAAGTTATGTTTCATATACACTTCATACAAATTGCTAATAGTTTTATACAATTTTTTTGTGCCTACATTTTGTGTGTCATCCGTCATGTGAGGCCAGATGTGGAATTTTCCACTTGGGTGTCATGTTGGCACTCAAAAAGTTTGGATTTCAGAACATTTCAGGTTTCGGATTTGGGAATTAAGGAAGCTCAGCCTGGTAGTGTGAAATTGGAGCAGATAACACACTGGCAGCTACAAACTGGGAAAAAAAAAATCTCCAAATACTAAAATAACTCAATTATAAAAGCACAATTTATAGTATCGCAAATCTCAGAAAATTAAACAAAAACATCAAATGTCTTTCCTTCTAGATGAGGAAGATTTTCTCCTCCCCTGCTCCTCCAAAAAGCAACTAATGATTTGAAATAAAAAAATAAACCAGTATTCACCCCAACAATGTTTAAGTAATCATGTAGCACAATGCTTTCACGCTTATAATCACACAGTTAAAAAGACTTTCCCGTAGTCACACGTGCTCTTAACACAATTGCTTTTTAGAAAACTACTGTATTAGTTAAGCTTGTTTACTCTTGCTAAGAAGTTATCAGTTTCATTTATATAGGCCACACAAATCTCATTGGCACACTTAAGAATAAGACAAAATAAGCTATTCTTTGTCTAAAAAAAATTATGGGATCATCTGTTTTCAAATAATCCCAGATACCTAATTCTTTAAAGCAATTTTTTTTTTTTTTTTTTACTATCAGCAGTCAAAATTTTTAAATGATCACTAAGGGCTCACCTGAAGATTATCAATGCTATATAAGTGTAAATCTGTTTTAAAAGATTTGTGTCCATTTTATAAGATTCAGCTGGTACTGAAGTGCTTTAAGGAAAATAAAGATAGCCTATATACATACAGTTAATTTGCCTCAAAGAACTTCTTAGAAATACAGTATAAACATTTAAGGACCAAACCGGTCCACTGTTGTGGCTCAAACCTTAGCAAAGATTTTCTCGAAACCTAGTACAGAGATTACTGGCTCAAGACCATATCCCAGTGATTCCAGTACAAGCTCTAATCCTAAGACTCTACCACTTAAAAAAGAGCACACCTGGTTATTCATGGCTTTTAACCTCGAGCTACAATTTTGCTACAAGTCCCCCAGCTCAATCTAAGGTCAGTCATGTGGAGATGTGCACATTCTCTGAGCACTGTTTAGAGTCCTTGGCTTTCCAGCTTTGATGGAGATCTCGAAGGCGCTCAGAAGTCCGTGTGCTCACGTTCAGAGCAGGGTGAACTTTACAAATTCCACTCTCCTCCATTAGTGACAGGCCACAGATCCCGAAGTATGCATGCAACGCATCTGCAAAGAAGGCACTTTTAACATCATGATGGCACTCCTCCTCATACATGCTACAGAATATTTCAGCTATTTATTTAGCAGCCCATCATACATTAAAAATAGAAAAATATCAAATAATAGTTTCTGAAATATTTAAGTCTTAAGATATTTTTTTCAAAAAACCGGATGATCAAAATCAAGTATTTATTTAATCATTAACAAAGGAAAACTGCTCCCAACCGAGACGATTCTGCCCACATTCTCCAAGGATAAAGACAAGCAGCAGTAATGAAAAAGACTTCTCAGCTAAGTGGCTTTCCTTTTTGCTTAATGAAAAAAAAAATGTGGGAACAAGTGGCTTTAACTCTAGATCGTAAGATTTTTTCTTAAAATTTTTTTATTTTTGGTTCAGAAAACTGAACCCAGGTCCTTTCTCATGCTATGCAAATGCTCTACCACTGAGCTACATCCCCAGCCCTAGAGAACTTTTTTCTAAAAAATGAAAACAAGCCTACTTTTGAATCTATGGAGCAATATACTGTGCCCTCTAACTCCCAAATTCTATTTGTGACAGTACCTAACTCATATACTACCACTGCACTAAATGAAAGGGGTAAAAATAGTTCATCCTGGAATGCTGTCCCTTATTTAGTCCCTCTTTAGGAAATGTCAGCCATTCTAAAAAGATCTGACCTGACAGAAACACAAACTCGCACTCCACTTGGTTATAATGACAATTCTTCTGCCTTGGCCTCATTGCACTTTCCATCTTTCAGGGTGCAGCAACCCTCTTCTGTTAAAGTGGGCACTGACATCACTTGGCCCCAGCCTGCCCAAGAACCTTATATAGACTTCTGAAGAGCCCAGAGCTCTGCAGTTATGGGAACACTGCAAAAAACTGTTCTGTAGCAGTCAAGAATTTTTTTCTATTTTTGAACTGGCCAGCATTTATGACCTCAAAAGCTGTTAAGCTTCAAAACATCTTACCAAGTCTAACTTTGTCAAAAGAGTTAATTGGTTCATTTTCCTCTAATTTTCAGACTACATGAAATAAATTTAATTTCTCCTACACAATTACCTAGTTCCTTATGGTTATTCTAAAATTATAAACCGTGCAAAGCAACACTAAGCTTTATTTTTACAAACTAGAAAACTTTCCCAGGAAAAAATGGCAACAGAAAGGAGTACATTACACATCCAGAATAATACTTTTATAGGACCTTGTATAAAACTTACATCAATCTGGACTTTTGTAAAAGCCAAAGAGACCAAAACTTATTTCAAAACCCCAAATAGTTAAAAAACAACACTCATTATGTGTAAGTGGTTATATACTAAGGCTAGATAGTGAAATGTATTTATAAAAAATCATTTTTTAAAGTTTCTTCCATAAATGTATATAAGAATCTTTGCATCAAATCTGCTACTAAACTTACTAGAACCAAGAATAAGGTAATTTTAAAGAATTTTGTTAAAATGTTGTTTTCTAAAGGCTCCACGTAAGTTCAATTTATCATACAAAGACTTTCTATGGTCTCTAGTGTATAGGCTCCAAAGACATAATAATGTAGCTGCAAAAAGTCAGTATTACATCCAAGTATTTACACAAACATTAAAATGAGCAACTGACCTGGATAGCACAGAAAGTCTCAGGATTTTTTTCTTTTTTAAATGTTAATGGAGGGCTGGAGGTGGGCAGCAGAGCACCTGCCTGACAAGCTCAGAGCACTGAGTTCATACCCCAGTGCAGCTAAAAACCAAGAAAAGTTACTGGAAATACCTGATGTATTTGAAGTAGGTTTACATAAGAAATGCCTTCCAGGAGATTGTAACTACCATTTTCTTTATTCATTAAAATAGTACATTATTTGTTAAAATAGGACCACATGCTTGATTGAAAAAATGGTGAGAAGACCAAAATAACTATTAGATTTCTTGAGTACATTGAAAACATACTTAGTTATGTGTTATATGTATCAAAATATTTTTTTCTAAAAAATAATTTGTAAAGCATATTTTGGCTTACAACTTTAAAAGTATTGTGTACTTCTTTTAAGGAAGAGTGGTTTACACGAAAATGCAGTGAGGAAGGACAGGTGTGAGTAAATATTCCTGCTCATCGCATGATTCAAGTGTACATCCAGCCACAGTTCTATGAGATGAACTGAAGAGGTATCTTCCAAACCAATGATAATAAAAACCTTGATACTATTGCAACACTATAACATCAGTTATTTCTTAAGTCTAGTTTCATATATTTATCTGTAATTCCTTGACAGCTTGCTTATCAAAAATGTTAGTGTTCTGAGCTGGGCATGGTAGCACATGTCTGTAATTGCAGCTACTTGAGAGGCCAGTCCAGGATACCAGCTAGGCAAAGTTAATGAGACCTACCTCAAAAACAAAATGCAAAACAAAAGGAGTGGGGCGTGGCTCAAGTAGTAGACCTATAGTACCTGTCTACCATGTTTGAGGCCCTGGGTTCAATCCCCAGTACTACACACACACACACAATTAGCATTCTGAGTTGTTTTAGCAAGCTTTTACAAGCTACAAATAGACTCATTTCGTAAACTAAGAGGGAGGATATGGGCTGCAGAATGATGCTAAAGGTGGGAGAAGAGCAAAATAACAGGTGTCTTCCGTACTGTCTGAGACTGCTTGACTCTTGAATCTTAGTGAATGGTTGAAATATTAGGGTTTTGTCTGAAAAAGTTATCTGACGCCATGAGAACAAGAACATGGACAGCAAGAGACACCCGTAGTTAGCACTGGAGAATTTTTTTAAATTTAAGGCCTTCTGAAAAGAGTAAGAACTTGTTCCATTAAGGACTTAAATTAATTTATTCTACTTAGCTCAAGTCACAGTCAATAATCCTAATGACTGTGGGTGGGCCAAACAATTCTCTATTTTGGAAAAGAACCCATTCAGATCATCTGCCTTACTGTCACAAATAAAACAAAACATTGCTAAATATTTGGGGAAAACGCATGCCATGCAGGCACATCTTGGTAATCTCCCCTCCTTCCCATATACTGCCCACTACCCAAAATCCTTCTCAAACATAAATAATGAACTTTTAAAAACATATTAGTTAACTTCACAACTGTAGCAACATTATTGATATTACACCCTTTCTGATAAGCTCTACTTAAGAAATAACAATTATTATTTTGGACTCATATAGAAAATAATTACCTGGATGACTGTCTGGCCATTTCGCAAATCCCCCCACTAGGCGATCTTGAGTTGATAAGATGTAATTTCTATTTTTCTCAAAGTTAGTGTATTGGAAAATTTTCAGAAGCTGAAATGACAAAAATTAATTGGAAAATTTTCAGAAGCTGAAATGACAAAAATTAATTGACACAGAACTTTTATTTCAGATGTGCATTGTTCAGGTATGCTTCTCTCCAGCTAAGGCTGTCAGAGCATATCTCTGGGGCCTTAAGATCAGTCAAGTACCTTATCTGTTTTATTTTCTTACCAGCTCAGTTCTCCTTTTCTTGACTATTTTCTTTTTCTGAACCAGGCCAAACTCTGGTCTTTGTATTACGGTAAGCTAGATTCAGAACAGAACTCCAATAGATTCAACATAATCAGGCATTTTAAAAAGTGCCACACTAACATAACTATAATCCTAGCTACTCAATAGGCAGAGATCAGGAGGACTGCAGTTTGAGGCCAGTCTTGGCAAAAAGTTTGTGAGACCCTATCTCAACCAAAATGTCTGGTTATGGCAATGTGCACATGCCATCCCAGCTACATGGGGAAGCACAAATAGGATTTCAGTCCAGGCTGGCCTGGGCATAAATCAAGACTCTTTCTAAAAAATAACCAACACAAAAAGGGCTGGTGGAGTGGCTCAAGTGGGCCTGCCTAGCAAGTGCACCACCCTGAGTTCCACTCCTAGTACTGCTAAAAATAAAACTGCCATTTTATCTACTCATATTTTAACTTTTATGATAGTTTCTTCATCTATTTGGTACAAAACGGTAGTGAGTAGATCCGAAAATATTTTAAAAAACAGAAAGAAAAAACTATTAACCAGATACAAAAGACAATTTTTAATGGGAATGGTAAAAAAAAAAATTATAGCTCTTTAAGTTGAGACAAACATGATTAAACATAAAAAACTATAAAACTTATTGTTTTAGGACATGTATTTATATTTTCTCTCAAGATACTATAAAGAAAAAAACCAAAAACATGAATGGAACAGGGATAGGATGAACAAGAGAAGAAAGTTCAAGAAATTTCTGAAGGCACAAAGTGATTTAAAGTGTGTTAACGAATCAGACAGAGCAGGGAATATATTAGTGATTAATGAACAAATGTTAATTCTTGGAAAAAAAAGTTAAAACTGTTAGACAATTATGATACAACTAAAAAATAAATTTATTAGTTTATTAATTAACAAAACATAAGAAAAGAAACTTTTTGGAATCCTGATGTTAAGAACATTTCCATCAAGTGCCACATGCCATTACAGAAAAAGAAGGAATTGTAATCGTAATACTGTCCTTGGCTCAACAGAGAACAGTATTACACCATCACAGTAAATACTGATTACTGATTTTCAAATTTAAATCAACTTACAGGCAAAGCATAAAAGATTTGATTATTATTATTGAATAATGGCATTTACTGTGACATAAAAACATAAGTAAGCTTACAGCTTGGGAAGGTAGAAAAAAACGGGGGGGGCAAAATTTTAATTTTCCAAAGTTGAGAATAGAAGATAATGTCTAAAGCTGTTTAGTCAAGGAACCAACACTGAGTATGGTGGTGGATGCCTGTAATACCAGCACTCAGGAGGCTGAGGTGGGAGAATTACAAGTTTGAGGCAAGTCTGAAATACATGAGGACCCTGTCTTAAAAAAAAGGAAGAAAAAATAACTCAGCATATTATTTAAATGTTTAAAAGTAGTTGCCTTCAGAAAGTTGTCAAATGTAACTGATTTTTTTTTCCAAAAAAAATCAAGAACCAACATAAAAGGGCTCAGCTGGTACAATCTGAGCACTGCACAGTATAATGGACTAAACATGAAATGTTAAAAACCTAAGTTCACAATGACACTCCAAACTAAAACCTCTAACATTTTCCAGAAAACTTGAAAGGATGCTAAAGGAATCTGCTTGTTGTGCTGAACGCCGTTATAATTAAGGGAGAAATGAGCACCTGCCCACCCCACACAATCTGCACCTCAGGGTAAGGCCACACGCCTTTTAAAGTAATGCTGGAAGAGGTATACTCTGCAGCCTTTGATGACACAAGGGATCTCAGCAACACTATTCAATGGCTGCCAAGCTTCATTCCATAAAAGCTGATGGGTCTCTAAACATTAGCAATTTAAATGGAAATTAAGAAATTATACACATTTTCATCATTCCCTGTGCAAACTCTGTCCCATTACACAGTAACTTCCTATTTGCCTCTCCCCCAACCTCTGGTAACCTCTGCTCTACTCTGTCTCTTATGAATTTGTCTATTCCAGATATCTTATGCAAGTGGAATCATACAATGTTTATACTTGTATATTGCCTTATTTTACTAAGTGGGGTATCCCTAACTTTTTGTCCAGGTTGACCTCGAATCATAATCCTCCCAGTCTCTGCCTCCCCAGAAGCTGGGATTGCAGGCATGTGCAACCATGCCCAACTAGGTGATAGTTCTTAAAAGTGAAAAGATATTTTTAAGGCAGAGAAAACTTGTGTTTACTGGTTCAATAACTTTATGGAATTAGTGTATTAAAGGTAGTAAACATGGGGGAAATGTCAGTCAATGAGTTTTAGAAGGTTTAGACAAAAACAAGTAATGGAAGAATGTTAAATTATTTTTCAAGTGACCTATGGTTTACCTTTTAAGATTAATAACTTTGCACAGAATCTTCATTGGCATCACTTCCAGACAGACCCCTACTCTACATGGACTACTCGTTAGTTTCAGTAGTAAGTATTTTACGACCTTACAGCTATAAAAAAGGAGGTATGTAACATGTTCTAGGTAAGGTGTAAGTAGGCATAAAACTCAAGTTCTGGATCCTGAGTTTTATAAGGATGGAAACTTTCAAGTAACACAACAGAAGAAACTCAAAAGCCAACACCTAACACCTTTCACCACATAATACAAAAAGCCAAGCTTTCAGCAGTTTGTATTAACATGGAGGACAGGCTTCTCATTTCATTATTTTTCTTACCTTTAGAGTTGCTCCTACCCAAAAAGAGTAGCAGGTGTCTACAGGCTTGTTAGGTCTTCCGTGATAACCATTTTGCTGCCTCATTATACACCACCTCTTTATCCTATTCAATTCTTTTTCTGAAAAAACTTCTTCTAGTTTACCCATCAGACACAGTGATGCAATGCCACAAAAAGTAGATCCTCCTGTTAATCAACAATACACAATGCTATAGATTTCAAATTAGATGCCCATGAAAACAGAACAAAATAGCTGGGGGAAAAGTGGCTAAGTAATCCTAGAAAACAGTGAAATAAGATTTAAGTGTCAATGTCAAAATACCCACTGAACACTGAAGACTTCCATGTTAAATTGACCAAATATAATAGAACTTAAAATGCTTTGAAGCTATAAGAAACATTACACTTAAAAAAAAAAAGTAAGACTTGGAACAAGATTAAGGAAATTGTACAAAATTGCAGAACTAATGGCAGATTTGGAACCAGAGTCTAGGACTACAAGGCCTGGCCAGGACTTGATCACCCAGGTCTTAAATCTGCTGAAGACAGTACAGTTGGCCTCTGTATGGTAGGCTCTGTATCCATGCATTGAACCAAAAGTCAAAGCATTTGAAAGCTGAAGTATTCTGAACAGACCTTTTTATGTCATTATTCCCTACATAATACTGTAAAACAATGATTTACACATTTACATTGTATTAGGTACTATTACAACGTAGGGTGATTCAAAGTATATTTGAGGACACACAAGTTATATACAAGTACCACACTGTGTCATGGAAGAGATGTGAGTGTTTGCATTTGTGGGGTTCTGGAATCAGCCAATCCCCGCAGGTAGGGTGGGGAAAACGAGTCAGTATTTCTATAAATAAAATCTCATTTGTATTTATAAAAATAAGAATTTTATGAGTAAAAGGAATCAACTGTATTTCCTTGTCGATGACTCACTAGTTTTGATTCTCGTTCATGATAACGTGACCATGACTTCAGGTGTTGTTCTATCACTAAAGCCTCTAGTATGTAAATTTTAAAACAAATTACTGAAATGTAAAAGAGAAACATGCAAATATTAATCTCTAAACTACTTGCCAGAATTCTCTAAAGCAAACTGACACAACTGAAAAGTAAAAACACTCTACTTTGCTCAAATCATCTGATTTTGAAAATATAACTCCAGAAGTAAGTTTGGGCTCTGAGTGCCAGAGATAATTATTACAAAGCCTATGCGTTAAGCTGAAACTCATTTACCAACAGGTAAGTCCCCTGGCCCCTATGGAATCCTTTGCCTTACACAGAATTCTAAAGAACTTGTTCTAAAGACCTGTACTATGTTATAAGGGTGTTAGAAACTAACACAAAAACAGCAAGGAAAAACAAGCAACAACTTGACATTAAGTAAACTAAAAATGCTATTAAAAAAAAAAGCATAAAAACTCAAATAGATCAAGGAACTCTGAATACTTCAAAATACTTTAAGATTATATCATTAAAGTATCATACTAGAATTGCTTGCCATAAAAATAATCTGAATTCATAAAGGAAAAGTTAAACTGTGGTCATTTATGCCTTAGTTGAAGAATGTATATTTAAAAAAAAGCACCCTCTTTCTCTAAAGCATATAACAGTAAGTTTTGGTTTTTTTTTTTTTAAGTTTATTTTTATTTATTTATTTATTATTATTTATTTATTACAGTACTGCAATCCTCCTGATCCTCTGCCTCCTGAGTAGCTACGATTACAGGTATGAGCCATTGGCAGCCAGCAAGAATATTAAGATGAATAACAAAATAACAAGAAAAAGAGACTTCCACCTGAAATGATTGAAAGCTTGTCACCTAAAGTAACAAGCTGCAGTTATATGGGAAATCAAGGTTTGCAGAACATGTCAGTAGTAAAACATCACAGCTGGAAGGGAGCATAGAAGTTCTCTCTTAACAACCCTTCCCAGCTCTTCCAGCTGTAGGGTAAAAGGGAGTATTCCTGACGTGGGTTCTGTACACTATGGTCTACTTATATTTTAGTAGTTTAAGTTACAAGTTAAAAGTATTGTGCATATAAGGCTTTACAGCTCGGTTTTACACATTCTCTTAGCATTTGTATGCATCAAATTATCTAAAAGAAAGCATGTCTTCTGAAATGTGTAACTTCAGATAGTCAACAATCATACAGTTAGAGATAAAAGTAGAAAGCTAAGCAAAAAGGTAATAAGTAAGTACATCACTTTGTACTTAAACACCACATGAGAAAGACGGTCTAGAAAGTTACAATATGGCTGTTTAGTTTTTCTGACAAACTACAGGTGAACCAACAGTTGGAGAACAGTATCTGAGTTCGAAAGAAGAGAAAACAACCCAAGCCAAAAACCAGACAATATATTAAATATTTCGATTGGGGAATTAGGAAGGAAGAATACGATAGACTGTAGCAGACATGTTTCAAATTCAATTTTCCAGAAAAGGGAAGCAAAGTGGAATACAGGATAGCCAATCCATCAAATACTAATGAAGGAGTAGAATGTAGGGGGCATGTGGAGTAAGATGTGAACAGAGAACACAAGGTAAACAGAGATAATACCATAAAATTAGTATGATATTTTGTAGCCAGTGCTACAAAACAGAGAAACTGCACAGGGCTAACTGTGACAAATAACAAAAGTTTTAACAAAGAAGGTGACAATGGATCAAGGCACAGAGATAGATAGAACTATGAAAGAGAAACAAGGAGAAGGAGATGGAGAAGCAGCACTTCAGGTACAGGAAAAAGAGTATGAGCAAAGTTCAGAGGGGAAAAGGCAGTACAAATGCTTAGACTATGTTTTCTCTACAGCCCAGAGCAGGTGGAAGGGATCACTCATATGTGGGAGCAGAAAGTCCAGCTGGAACTGGCTTATGGAGATGAACTAAGATAAAACTTGAACCCAGGCAGGATGATGGTATTGCGCAAACACAGGATTTAGGTGGGTCATGACACTTACCTGACACATTAAAGGCAAGCTACTTAACTTCTCTAACTAAAATGACAGCAATTATCATGGTGGTTTTATACTGTGTCAATGTGGTGATGACAGAATTCTGTTCCCCAGAATCCCCTTCCCCATATGACCCGAAGAGAAATCTGCACAGTCTTCCACAGTGGAAGTAAAGTAGAAGTCATCACCTGGTTGTGGTCAGAGGGGACAAGTGACAAAGGCAGTGCTGCTGGCTTTTCTTTCTCATACACTGGGCACCCACATTCTTCTTACTCTTGCCCTAGTGATGCCAGGCCCACAATGGCAGGAGGAACCACCCTCCACAGAGCTCCCCACTATAGTCTGACACTGGCAGCTGGATGTGCCTGGCCTGCAATTTCCCTGCAAGATCTGGCTAGTCCACCACTGCTAGTGCTTCAGGATGCTTTATCAGTCACTTCTCTCTGATCCTTTAACTCTTCCTTTTGGACTCTTCCCCATCTTCTACCATAATTGTATAAAATCATCTTCCTGTAACAAATCCTTTATTCTTTAATACTCATAGTGGTTTTGCCTCTCTGATTGAACCCAACTAATACAAAGATGACTACTCTCAGAGCTGGTATGAAGATTAAATGAGACCATATGCAAACTATCAAACAGTAGCTGGCACACAATTCCTGTTTAATAAATAACTACATTATTTTCCCCTTAATCTACAAACCCGGGACTATAAATTGGTGACCTATAGGGAACAACTGGTCTAACTGGAAAATTAAAAACAAAACCAAAAACAGAACAAGAGAATAAATCCACAAAACTCTGGGTTTCTGGCATCTCTGAAAAATCAGTAGATCTGACAGTAAGTTACTCCACATTCCCACACAGCACTGACAGGTGGGAAAGGTGAGAACCGTGGTGGGTGATCCTAAGAGGGCATCACCCACAGGAGATGTGCTCAGCAAGTAGATGGAGGCAACAATGTACATTTGGAGGCATGGTTGTAGGTGCCACAGACACAGAGATGGTCAAGAATATTAGTTCCTTCAACTACATGCCACGTATGTTTTAGGTATGGCAGACAGACCAGTGGATAAACCAGGCAAAACAACCCCCTTTCTCATAAGGCTTAATTAAATTAAGTGGAAGAGATGATAAACAAATAGATGAAATACAGACCACTTACAAAATATAAATGAAATGGAGAAAAATAAAGCTGGGAAAGGGATTAGAGAATGGTTTGCAATTCTAAATAGAGGGCATATATGCACATGTGAGTGTTTTGAAATTTTAAATAAGGGGTTTATAAAGAATTATCATTTAAGCTGGGTGTGGTGGTACATACCTGTAATCTCAGTACTAGGGAGGCAGAGGCAAGAGGAACATGAGTTCAAGGTTAGCCTGAGATACATAACAGGTTTGAGGCCAGCCTGAGCTATATAGGAAGACCATATCTCCAAAAATTTTTTAAAAAAATCAACTGAACAATGTGAAAGACGTGTAAGAAAACCAGGTGTATGCTGGGTGAGGATGAGGGTATGGGATGGTATATGGCAGACAGAAAGTACAAAGGCACTGCAACAAGAAAGAGAGCAGAAGTAAATCTCATGAAGGAGCTGAAACAATCAGAGAGCTGCATAAGAGGAACTCAACATTTCAATGAAAAAGCAGGAAGCTTCAATAAATACAAGATGAGGAGCGAAAAAAGGACAGTGAACTCAAAATGTAAATTACTCACAACTTTAAAAGAGAACTGTAAGTTGCTGAAGGCTTACATGGAAAATTAAGCCATTTTTGAAGAAGGACAAATGGTACATGGGACCACTTTTCCCACAAGATTAATACTTGGGATGGTCAAATTACAGGACTTCACTGTGGTATAGATAGTGCTGAGGCTCAGGTACACTATAACTGAGACCTCTAGGGTAATACTGCTCAGCCTACCCTCCTCATAGCACATAAGCAAAGTTAAACTACCTGGTATTTGCAGGGAATACTGTGTGAGGACAGAACTCCTGGCCAGAAGCAAACTTACCTGGTGCCCCAAACTCCAGGTTACCTCCAAGGCTGAGGGAGCTATATTCTGGCATAGCTATAAGCCATTTGAGGCACCTGAGTATTCTGTGGTGCACTGGGCTTTGGAACCCAAGGCTACCAAGCCAAATTTACAGATAAAAAAGAGACACTTTTTGGTGTGAACTGCAGTCCATCACTGAGAATACTTGAAATATGACTAGTGTGACTCAGGAAGATTTTCCTCCTGACAGGACCCTTTATGAAGTTTTGAGCAGCCCTATATATCTCAAGAATATAATTCTAACTTCTTGGGAACAACAGTGCCTGTTCCACAGGTGTCTTGTGCTACAACACTGAGCACCAGACCCTATCTTTTCAGAAATTCTTAAGAGTGATTACATTTCCTCTTTGTGCAACTACAACCACTCCTCTGACCATGTGGATAGCCAGTAACATAATTGCTACTGGAATCAGTTAAAGCCTCAACACAGCTGTACATAAATTCCTTAAATAAAAAGTACTTGAGCTGTTTTTCAGGAAGTGCCTCCAGAATCCACCCAAGGACATTTTGAAACCAGCTTTCAAGAATGGACATGAGCAGAAGCCAGTGCTAATCCATGACCTTTCAGTGTTACGAACTCAAAATTCCCCAAGCACAACACAACTCTCCCCTCACTCTGGAAAAGAAACATGTGACCTGTGAAGAAGAGGCATGATGACCATGTATGCCTGTGCAAAAGAACTCTAAAATGTTTTTTTGTCCTCTAATCAGTAAGCAGCTTCTCCCCATTTTTGGTCCTGTAAATTTCCAATACTAACCTATCAGTGAGGCAGACCTGAGTTTACAGCTGCTGACTTCCTTGCTGGTTGATCATGAAATAAAGCTCTTTTGAAACAATCAGTGGCATACATACTGTTGGTTTCTATGCATGGTGACGTGAGCCTTGCTCGATGCCTCTATTGCCTGTTCTTCCTACATCCCATCTCATATAACTCACACACTAGAATCATGGTGCCATGGTATGGTTTCAGAGGAGAATTTTAGACAGTGTTTTATATACTCCTTAGTGGCACATAATCTACAAATATCTAAATTAAAGGAGGGAATGAAGAGTATCTAATAGACAAGGACACAGGGATATTCAAGGATATGAGGTTAAAGAATAATTGCTAAAAATAATTTTATACAATTTTTAGTGTGCAAATCTCATACCCATTATCTCTTACAGGCAATTTCTTAAAGAAAGACAATTTCTACTCTTTTGATGAAGAAACCCTTGGAAAGCTTAAGTGAGGAGCCAAGGTGACATAGCTGGTATATCAGGGCCAAAGCCCAAACACTGATCTCCTTCGGATTACTCTATCATGCTTGCAGGAGACAGAGATGACAAATGAGCACATAAAAAACTGCCATCAGAACTGGATGCCAGGGGCTCATGGCTGTAATCCTAGCTACCTGGGAGCTGAAAATGAGGTTCCAAGCCAGCCTGGGAAAATAGTTTGTGAGATCCCATCTCCAAAAAATAACCAGAGAAAAAATGGAATAGAGGTGTGGCTCAAGCTGCAGAACACAAGCATGAAGCTCTCAGTTTAAACACCAGTAGTGCCAAACAAAAGAACACACACACAAAACCCCATGCTGTGATAAAAAGGAAACTGAAGTTCACTCTGAAGTCCCCCAGGGTCTGGCTCTTTCTTTTTAGAAAAGGAGAATGGAAGCTTATTTATATCTGAATGGAAATTTCAATTTGAGAGAAGTCAGGCTATTGTGCTGACAAACTTAATAACTGTCATCTCACTATTCTGGTTCTGCCAAAAGTAAGGAAAAAAATGAGAGAGAAGAGACTGTGTTAATGTTTATACAGATCATAAGCTAAGCAGCAAAAATGTTTATGACCATTACTAAGGATGTATTATATTAAGGAAGGCAAAAGTTTTCATCTCTTCACACATTTATTGATTCAAGTTTAATACAGTATATCTCTTGGGTCTAGTCTTTTAGTGTTAAACCAAAGAAAATAAGCTGCTGCTGAATTGTACCCAGGGCTCATGAGCTACACCCCTAGTCCTAAGTAAAAAAGTCCTAACGGTTACTGATCTAAGTCCTAATGGTTACTGATCTAAGAGGCTTCAAATGGTACAAAAGTGTGAAAGAGAGAAGTAGGAAAGTGACAAGATAATCAGGCTACCCCAAGGGTTGAGACAAGCTTGAGAGGTCTTCCATACTGAAGATATTGTGATGTTAAAGAAACTACACATCCATTAAGAAGTCTTACCATGAGATTCAAGTCCAGCTCCCTGGGCCAGCCCATTGTCATAAGACTGAAAAAAAAACAAAAAAAAAAAAACACTGCTTAGTTTAACAGAGAAAAAGTAACAAATGAAAAAGTTGCCATAGCATTAAATAATTCTCTTACTCTATCTACTAAAACATATACTTTTCTTTACGGAGAGGTAGAATAAGGCATTTTCAAGTACCCCATTTTGTCTTACTCACCAAGCCAAATCACAAGAGGCACATTCTGAGAATCAATTATTCAGGTAATACATACATGTTCAATTTCTACGCAGTAAAAAATCTGAGCCCTTACTTCTCTTGCATTTCCAAGGATGTAAGAGTTGAGTGAAAATGTAAGAGCTTTACACTCAAACAAGTCTATAAACACAAAACTTATTGTGAGAGTTTTGGCTTGCTAAGGATAATAGAGCCTGCCTAAATTTCAATCTCCCCACATTTCCTCCAAAATCAAGAATAAGAACAATAAAACTTACAAAACTCAAACCTTTACAAAGACAACATGCTCAAGCGTCATACTGCCTGTCTATGGAAAAAGAAACATCAAATCCCCATAAGTCATCTCTGACACATGTTTACGGAGAGCAGTGGGGCTTTGTGAAAAACTATGAGGGAAAAGGAGGAGGGGATGAATGGTAGATCTGATCGTAATCTAAAATCACTTTCTAAAAGACAAAGCCCACTTTAAGAGTGGACTTGCTTGGCACAGGTCCAATTATAGTTACCATGATTTTAAGTAATAAAAATGGCTCAAATTTCAGTAACCTTAGTGTATTAACTGGAAGCAACAATCTTAAAAGTATAAAGGTATAAAACTTTTAAAGGTATAATACTTTTAAAAAGCATAAAGTATAAGTTCTTCAGTCCATAAATCATTACATTAAATGGGCACAATGATCAGAGACCAATTACTTCATCCTTTTCCAAGTCTCTTAATAATTTGCTTCTGCATGTTATTCAGTTGAACAAAGGATGTGGCTATGCAGTCTGTCTCTCAGTGAGGCTTCATGAATTAGCCACCGAAGATGAAAAGTACAGTAAAGAAATCAAAAACATTGACCATGGAAGTGAGAACTAGCTAGCACGGGAATGTAGCAGTATCTCTGCGCAAGAGACACGATGACATATCCAGTCAGAAAAAGTAAGCAAAGAGAGACAGCTATGTGAGCGAGGGCAAAGACGATGTTCCAGACATGGGCTGCCAGACAAAAGCTTCACACAAAAGAAGTTCTCAAAGACATCCCACAACTCTGAAAATGTGAAGGAAAGCAGGCACGGTGGCACACGTTTGTATTCCTACTACCTGGAAGACAGAGGGAGGTAGGAGGATTGTGAGTTAAGAGGCCAGACTGGGCTACATAGTGAGACCCTGTATCAAAAAGCTGAAACCAAAAGTAACAAAGGAAAAAAACACAAAGGAGAATATGCTGCGATGGATATAAACTTAAGAGTATGACCACAGGAACTTACATCCTAAGTTACATCAAAAGACTTTAAAGAACCATTCAAAGATAGCACTTTAGTTCTCAGTATTTTTAATGTTTAAAGTGTATTAAATATTTTTACTATTAAAAAATCCCTGTACTTTTGTAATGTACAGTAAAAGAGTTTTTAATGTAGTGAAAAATGTTGAGGATATGTAACGATCAGCATTCTCCCACTACTGATTAAAATCACTATGCATCACTTCAGCTTGCCTGGCTATCACTGTGGCCTGGCACTACCATGCAAAGCAAGGGAAGCCTTTACTGAAAGAGGTCTTGAAAACAAGAGCGTGTAAGTATGGTAGTGCTCAAATAACATGGCTTCTGGAGAAGAAAGTTAAGAAGAGAAGAGAGACAGGCCCTCTGAAGATCAAGTCATCAAGGAAAACGCAAGAGTAAAATTTAGAGACCTGAGAAACAAATGAGAACTTTTCTACTAGACAATTATAGAACATACAAGCCTTTCCCCACCTCTAAAAAGAATCATTCTTTAAAGAAGTCACACTTTATTGCACTGAAAAGAGGGCAACCTTATGCTATAAATTCTTGTAAGAAAAAAGAATCCATGGAATCACTAAACAGAAAGCGAAAAAGTTATCTACACATTAACTCTTAGATGAAAATATGCCCTTATCAAGAAACAGCCATGGAGCAGAAACTTAATCTAGCACTCCAAACTCAACTGTACATTCTCAAACAAGTATTTGGGAATATGAAAGGGGTATTAAAAATTAAAAATGGAAACGGAGCCAGGTGCCAGTGGCTCACTCCTGTAATCCTAGTTATTCAGGAGGATCGTGGTTTGCAGCCAGCAAAGGCAAATAGTTTGTGAGACCCTACCTCAAAAATACTCAACACAAAAAAGGGCTGGAGGAGGGGCTCAAGAGATAGAGCACCTTGCCTACTAGCTCTGAGTTCAAAACCCCAAGAGCACCAAAAAAAACCAAACAAACCAGAAGTGGACAAACAATAGTAAGAAATAATGAGTTAAATGATTTCAGAGCAAAAAAAAAAAAAGAAGAAGAAAAAATAAGATATAAGAACTAAACTATGAGATGCCTAAGGAATAATTGTTTAGAATGAAAACACAGTAAAGGAAAAGGCAGAAAACAGTCAAAAATATAAAAGTGAGATAAAGAAATAAAAATGTAAGATAAAGTGGTTGAAATAAAGACATGCAAAAAAGAAAGTACATAAAATCAAAATACCTAAAAGTGACAAAATAAAATATGGCTGGGGATGAGGCTCTGTGGCAGAGTACTTACCTGAGTTCAGTGTCCCCAGCCCCCACCATTCTCCCAATGGACAAGAACAAATGGCCCAAAGGCTGAATCTGGCCAGCTGCCTGGTGTTGTACAGATCTTAAGTTAAGAAAATGGTCAATCTCATTCATAATAAAAGAAATGTAAATTTAAAACATACTGAAATATCATTTTTCAGCCACCAGGGGAAAAGATGAAAATAAATTCTACCTGTGAGGCTCTGTGGCACCCTCCTATGGGTGGTGGGAATATAAACTGGTCCATCTTTTCTGAAGAGAAAATGGGATTCAGCTAATAAAATTACATATACATTTAGATTTTCTTTTTCTTTTTTTTTTGTAGGACTGGGGTTTGCACTCATTGCCTTGCACTTGCAAAGCAGGTGCTCTACTATCTGAGCCACACCTTCATTACATGCTCTGGTTATTCTGTAGACAGGGGTCCCAGGAACTATTTGCCAGGGCTGGCCTCAAACTTGAATCCTCGCGATCTCACCTCCCAAGTATCTAGGATTATAGGTGTGAACCACCAGTGCCTGGCTTGCATTCAGATTTTGATCAACCAAATGTAAGAAAAATAATGAGAAAAATCTCCATGGACTTATAAGTGACTTTCAAGGTATATTGCTCAGTGGGGGAAAAAAAAAGGCAAACTAAAAAAACTACCCGTGATATGGTATCTTTTGCATAAGAAGTAAGATTCACGTATCTTCCCATCAAACAGAAAAATAGGAAAGATCATCCCAAAACTAGAGAATGCTACCTACAAAATGAATATGAACAAAATGGTGTATCTGAGGGTTGAGAAGGGGGTGAAAGACAGAAAGGGGACACTCCTCTTTGAACATATCTTTTTGCACAGTTCTTACATTCAGAACCAGGTTAATCGTTCATCTATTAAGTAAATAAAAATCAACAAAGTTGAGGACATATCTAAATGGAGCAAAATGGGAATCAAAATGATCCTCCAAACAAATAAACAAATCCAAATAAATAAACCTAGTTGTACTTCAAATAAATAACACAGAATAAATAGCATTCTCCATAAGGAAAACAAGTCTCGTGTAAAGACTGAAATGTGAGGCATTTGTATAGACTGAAGATTTTCAATACCTAAACTGATCTATGCATACATACATATAGACATTTTCTAGTTCTGCATGTTGAGATAGGGCCTGAAAGCAAAGGTATTCCAGGACCGATGAGCACACTTAGACCCAGATTTTAGATTCTAAATATCATCCTCCAGTAAGAACAGACTCCCTGAAAAAATAGCTGCTCTCAGTCCTGAGGCTGGGAAAGAAAACATGAACCTTGTGCCAAAAAGCAAGGAGGGTCTAAAAATGAAGGGAACATGTCAAAAGGGCAGTGAGCCTGCCTAAAAGGTCCTCCATGCCCAAATCTGGGACAACCTAAGGGTCAAAATAAATAATGATGGTAAAAGTTTATAATCCACTAAATAAAAACAAGTAAGTAAAGAAATGAAGGCAGAGAAAGCTTTTCCTAACAGCAGAATTTCAACTGATATTTATAGGATGGATGTAGAGCTGGGAAACCATCAGTGAATGGGTAAGAGTTTGATGACAGACATTTATAGTTTCTAGATAATGTACCATGAGATTCTAAATAATCACAAAAAGAAAAATGCTAGCTTTACAGAGAAAACTGGCATACATCACACTGGCCGAATGGGCAAGTCAATGAACCGGGCAGATCAATGTGCATCACCCACTCTCCTACATAAACCATTCTTCTGCTCATGACTCCTTTACAGCCTCTTCTTTCTGCATCCACAGCTTTTTAAAATTTGTGCTACAGTACATTCTACAAAATCTCACCTAGAGTTACATATTCAGTTAAATCCTATTTCATTCCTCTGAGAACTCACAGACATTTTCACTCTGAAACATTCTATTGGTGAAAGACTGGATTAACAGCCTTAAATAGTCTAATCTACAGAACTAAAAACCATGTAACAAACCTGAAAGGCAGCACTTTTATTTCTCAGTTTTATATATATGAGATGAAACAGAGTAAAGGATAATTCTGGCTGAGACTAAGCTTTCCTTACTATTGCCAATAAAAAAAGTAAGCTGTACTGTGTGAAAGAATGACATTTCTACTTGTTGTCCTTAAAATAAATGTTAGAATAAAAAAAAATTCATGTAAGTACTACATTTCAATGGTTTTTTAGTTTTACATGGGGTTCTTATACACCCCATATAAAGCAACACCAAGAAAGCAACCTTAGTGTCCTTACTTCCAAATTCTTGATGGTAGAACTGAGGTATGCACTGTATTACTGCAGTTCTCACGTACCAGCAATCATAACTAAACCTGTTAATTTTATTGACATAACTCACCATACTTCTTCTAATGTAGCTGATGGCTTTCTTCATATCCATGCCTGACCAGTTGTTGAGCATATAGCAAATACAGGAAGCACAGTAAACAAATCGCATGTCGTTTTCACTGCCTTCAGGTACTGCACAAAAGCTGAAAATCACGATATGGTTTTCTATTAACACTGGACTATAATCTTTTTACAAGGTGGTCTGAAACACCTACTTTGTGTCTTTACTCACAGAAAAACATCTATCACTGATTTTAAAACCATATTCTATTTGTATTGCACTCTGGGATTATAAGCTTGAATAATACAAAACAATTCTCTACATCACCACTCAACTTCACAGTTCTGATTCTAGGGAGTACTGCAAATGAATGTGCTACTCCTTTGTACTCATGGCTTAAGAATCAATGGCAGAAAAGTAACAGGTAGAAGCTCGGACCTACTGCCAAGCCCATGTTTTGCTTTGGTAAAATTCTTGTGTGTGTGTGTGTAAAGACAGACAGAGAGAGAGAGGGGAGAGATAACTATTAATTGATCAATCACATTGTTTTGCCGCATACTCAGTTTTCATGTAAAAGTCTGAGTCACAAATGTACTTATTTATAAACAAAGATAAGGTGACAGTAACCAAGGACAACATAAATTTTTTCCTCAAGAGCAGTATTTTGCAAACACTGACAGGATATAAATATATTAACAGATGAAACACAAAGATATACTGTGTGGTTACACAATAGGATTTGTATGCAAAGTCTTTCCCTTAAGACAGCATCACTACTGTTTATCACTTACCAGGTTTACAGCTGTTTTGAACTTAAAACCTTTGAAAACTCTTTAGACACAACAAGCAAATAATCAACTATTAGTGAGCATACTAATTCTTTTTTGCTATTAGAAAATGTCACAGAGGACTGAAGGTGTGACTCAAGTAGTAGAGTGCCTGCTTTATTAAGCATGAAGCCTGGAGTTCCAACCCCAGACCCACCAAAAAGAAAATAATAAAAATAAAAGATTAAAAGAAAAAAGAAAATGTCACAGAAATTGCCAATACTCATTCCTTTCTCCCCCAATGGGACTTTTAAAGAACAAAAGTTAGAACTAAACATACATTTCCTTCAAAAAACCCATTTTTTTTACCTAGAAGGTAGATGAAAAATGGAAACAGGAGTTCTGCTATTGTAAAATAATTTTTATTTTCATTTACACAAAAAGTGTCAAGATTACTTTTTCGATTAAATGCTTAACTATGTATACAACAACTTTACATGGCTCTTTTTGTTTTTTGCACTGCTGGGTTGAACCCAGGGCCTTGTGCATGCGAGGCAATCACAACCCTGAAAGTTATGTCCTCAGCTTTGAATGGTTCTAATAAGAGCCTTTAACAATCTCCTACAGTGGTGTGTCAGCTTCTTAGTTCCAATGATTCATACCTCCCATCTTCCAGCTGAAGGGCTCTCAAGCCAGCTAGGCAAGCTTCTTTATTTACTCGGCTCAAGTCGTCTCCAAGGATAACTAAACATGAAAGTCCAGTGTAGGTCATTGCTATGTGTCCACTATCATAAGGATGAGCTGTTCCAAGACTCTAAATTCAAAATTAATTGTATGTCAATTAATGAACTGAAAACATTTATTATTAGTTTAACATCAGATTTCAGTAAATAATACAGTTAAATGTTGCTTATCCCAAGGTGCATACACATCCAAGTGAGAAAAACAAACCTCCATTTTTCTCAATGTAAATATGATCACATACATTGCAGGCTACATAATTTTTTATACTTATCTTAGATACCTCAAGCTTTATAGAATTATGATATTATAATAAACCAAATTATTTGAACTTCATATCTAATCAACGCTATCATTTATAGTTCAAGTCTTACAAAGTTAGAAAAGAACTTAAGCCTTTTAAACAAAAAAGACTTAAAAAAAATTCTTTTATATAGGAGCGCTCTAAATTAATCACTACATTAAAAAAAAAGAATACTGAAGAATCTATCATTCTCTCGGAGAGGCGCTAATAAATACTAGCACTATGAATAGCAAAAACCAAATAAGGAATACAAATAAAAGCTTGAAATACTAAGTAAGCACCACCATCCTTCCTATTAGCATAGAGAATTCAGATAAAGGCAATACAGCCTGGAGCATGAAACCCTCTTCCCCAAAAGACTACAGGATTCAGGTGACTCAGGCCCAAAGTGGGTTTCATGAGAACGTATGAACCAAAGGGAAAACTGGCTGCTTCCTCAATTTTCGTTCTTGTTATTTTTGCAGTGTCTTGGGAGTCAGGTGCTATGGTTTACCTCTTAGTCTCAGACGGCTGAGGCAGGAGCCTGGGCAACATGAGACCCCATCACACAAATAAATAAATGAAAAGTAAAAATGTCTCTGGAGTAGAGAAAATCAGCTTTTAAAGAGAACACTGTTAAAGCACTGCTGTATCCCAGCAAGTGTGGGTGTGCATCTGCATGTGGACTTAAAATATGTAACAGTCGTCACTGCAATGTCAGGACACCCAGATGTTGTTTATATGACTAACTGGAGAGACCACCTTTATTCAGGACTAGCTTAAGTTGGGAAATATCACATATGTGAAAAAAAGAAATACATCTTATTAATCCTGTTTTTACATTCCCAGCTAAGAGCACATGGCACCCATGACTGAGACATCTTGGTGAATTCATATGACCTTGATGCATGGAAACCAGCATAGAGGAAGAAAGTTAAAGCAAATAATCCCTCCAAAATATGGGCTATTTATTCCAAAGTTTTGAAGCAGACTACGGAAGAACTGGCAGCACTTCATTTACCTTCAGCTTGCAACTGGATACAAATATTGATATATTCAATGCAATCAGATACTGGCTTGTTCCCTCTATGTAAGCAGATCGACCCCATCAAGGAAAGTTTCCATTCTGTGAGGCCTCCTTTTAAAAAAAGTTAAAAGAGCTGGAGATGTGCTTCAGTGGTAGAGCACTTGCCTGACATGCATGAAACCATGAATTCAATCCCCAGTATTGAGAAAAGGAGAGGAAAGCAGTAAGAGAGGGAAGGAGGAAGGGAACTGAAGGTAGGAGAGGGAAAGCAGGGAGAGAGGAGAGGAGGATTCTGAGCACAAATGGAAAATCTACAAAGTTTGTTCTGGGTCTGCTTCTTTATAAAAGCAAAGAGCTCTTCACTTTGTTAGGGCTCACTGCTTGTTATACTGGCAAAGGCTGATTCCAAAGCATCTGGTTACAATGCAGAGGCAGTTGTGCCTATTGCCATAAAAAGTTATCAAATTAATCACTACCCAAGTCATCAAATTAATACTTAACTACCTTGAGAACTTTTTTTTCCTCACTTCTAAGAAATTAGAGCTGAATGCAGTGCTTCTACAACACAGGAAGTTTACTGGCTTCTTAGAAAGCAAGTATCAAAGTACTTGAGTGCTTTCTATTTGTTTTCTTCAGAAAAATCCCTAATAATTTTTATACACATACACATGCAGGCAATAGAGACAAAATTTTAAAATAATTAGTAGAAATTTCTGCATGTATATGTACTATAAATCATCCAGGAAAGGGGGACAGGGCGACAGGTTTCCCTTAAGAATTTTCATTTTATAATACACACTACTCAATAGACCTTAGTATACTGAAACCTGGAAGCCTTGTTTTACTGAATAATTTTTCTTGGTCTCCTTTTTCACTAAAATCTGATTACCCTTCTATCCTCTGACCCACAGAGAACTAACCTTTGATGGATTGAATGGAATACCCAGGTATGAAGAGCCTCTGAAACCACAGCGACTTAGATTTGATCCTAGAAAACAAAACACGTGCTTATTTAAAGTACACATTACTTTTGTACAGATTCTAAAGCATTTTAGTTGTACTATCTTCCAGAAATTTTAGTAGAAAAGCTTTCTCACTGTTTCCATTTTCATGCTAGCTAATGTTGAATGCTTGCCTTGTATCACATCCATTCTTGTGCTTTACAGGAATCCCTTCATTGAATCTCTGTGGTAGTCATACAAAAGAGGGATTTCTTACTATACCTTTTATTGATAGCTTACCCCTCTGCATACAAAATACCTGCACAATTCTCCTAGATGATCATTTTTTATGTGACCTACATGGTCTCTGTATTTACATAACAGAAAACAGAAGCCCAGGGATTAAGTGACATCTTAGCATTACAAGGTCTAGAATCCTAATTTCTCATCCAAAGTCTTTTACTTTAACTCACTGCTTCTTTATTCACAAGCTAAAGATATAAACTGCTCTATAGCCACAGACTTCATGTCTCAGTATTAGACAGACTTTTATTCAAAGTTCTTAAAATGAAATACATAGAATACTGTAAGTTAGCACTTATTTCTACTCAAGGTATATTTAATCACACATCTTTTCCTAGCTAATGCTTTTCATGTTTCAAATATCAATGAAATGTAAGCTAAAGACAATAAAACAATTACAGGCACAGTAATTATGGTTTTGATAGCTATTAAAGTCAGCATTTTAGATGCAGAAGGTAAGAACGTAAAGACACTGCTTAAAAAAAGGCTCTGATGTAAGGAGTCATTTTCTTATATCTCTTATGACAGGTGCATGATTAAAGTATAACAACTTTTTCACTCTTTTTCAAATCACAAGCTGTATTTTATTCACCTTTTAATAAGTATTTCCTTGAAATACTTACATTAGCAGTATATACATTAATTCTTTGAACAAACTAAGAACCACTAAATTTAAAACCCATCAATCATCATCTCTTTGTTGGCAAAAAAATTTACTAAACAAGGTACTAATGGCAAGAATGATCTCAATGAACATGGTTCTCCATCTTTACTACGAACTTTTAAATTGGTAAGTCATTTAAGACTTGTCAATGTATATAACAAAGTCATAAATACACTCACGACCTTCAAGTAATGATACATCTGAAAGTCTATTCCAATAACTTCAAATATGCCATATGCACAGACATACTCAATTTAGTGTAATAATGGAACATTATACTGCTTTATTAAAGGTACTTGTTAATAAAGCCATGCAGCAATATGGAGAAATGCATATGGCCATGTTAAGAGGAAAAAGCAGGATACAAAGATACATATGTATCATGCTTATAATTAAGCAAACAGCACATCATGATAAAGCCTGGAAGGGAATAAAAACAATCATTCCATAGAATGATATGAACAAGGGTTCATATCATATTTTGTCCTGTGTCACTCGCTGCTGCACAATAAATTGCACAAACTTAGGACTGAAGACATTTATGTATTATCTCACATCTGTGGAAGGCAGAAGTCCAACAGGTCTTACCAGCCCAAATCAAGCACTGGGAGGGTGACATTAGTCCAGTGCTGACTGGAGGCTCTGCAGGAGCAATCAGCCTCCAAGCTTATTTAGGGTGTTGCACAATGAAGTTCCTTGCAGCTGTGGGCCTGAGGTCTCGGTTTCTTTGCTGGCTACTGGCTAGGGGCTCCCCTTGCTCCTAGATCTTCCTTTCATTTCTGGCACAAGGGACTCTTGCATGAGAGCAGTAATGGCATTCGAATCCTTTCCATGGTTAGCCTCCCTCTGGCATTCTCTTTCATTACATTTCCTACATGTGGCCCTTCTGCTGCTCATATGACTATACTGAGGCCACCTGTATATGTACCACCTATGGAGAATCTTCCACATTTCAAGATCAGCTGTTCAGTTTAACTCTAACTCTCACTTGCAAAGTCCCTTCACCGCCGTCCCAGTGTCTGACTGAATAACCAGGGAATGGGTGCATCTTTAGAATTCTATCTCCCCATTAGGAATTTTTGTTACAACTTTTATCACCACTGTGTTTTAGTCACTGTCAAGTTGGCTAAGAGGCACTGCCAAAAGTTGTCTTTTCCTAGAGGATTTAAAAGCTTTTTCCCTCCTTAGGCTTGCCTTTTTAAGGTTATCCTTTCAAGATACCTACTTGCTGATAGCCCTCCATAAAAGTCCTTCTCCACAGATGGAAGAAGGCTCCATTCCATCTCTGGGGGTCTGAGTTTACACTCTCATTTGGAGGCTTTTATCAGGTCCCCTGCTAACTTACACAATTCTGTTAGGTGTTTTACACCATAGAGTAAGGATTTAATAAATTATCTGTTTCTGAATAAAATACTATTTCCTTACAGGCAAGTGAATAATGGTATATCCTTTGCTTATTTCTGAGTTTTGGCTTGGTTAAATTAATCTGAGCACTGGTACTCAAAAAATACCATTAGGGTTAGGAGACTGAACTAGAGACAGTAGCACATTGTTAAGGAGTATCTCCCAGGGTTCTTGTACAGGTGTTAAACCTGCATGCACTTGCCAGGCTGTCAGCCTCTCCACGATTACTAAACATCGCCATCTAGTGCCACTGTTCAGCAGAACCAATCGCAGGACTGGAAAAAACACAGAGGCAGCAGCTTCCGTCCTCTACCAGGCCTGCATGAAACCCATGAGTTTGGGGTCTGGATGATTATATTTAAAAAAGAAAAACAATCAAGAATCACTGCTTGGTGAATGCATCCTCTGCTTTTGTAGACATAAAGACAAACTACTTCATTAAAAGGAAGCAGTTTAGATGTCAACAGCTCATGAAAAAGTCCAAGTTACCTAGGAGAAAAGAAAATGGGTAACGAGAGAGGGGCAAAAACGAGAATGTGCACATGGATGTAATGTGTGTGGGTGTGTTTACGTGTAAGTATGAAGATGGGCGAGTAATTAAGACAATGCGTTTAGCTATGTCTGTACATGAAAGATAATTTTTAAACAGACTCTTACCTGATCATTAGGTCATATCTCACTTTAAAATTTAGGGTTTTAGCTGGGCACAGTGGCTCGTACCTATAATCCCAGCTATGCAAGAGACACAGATAGGAGGAGTGCAGTTTAAGGTTATTGAAAAAGGTGGTGAGATTCTATCTCAAAAAACAAGTCAGGCATGGTGGTATACACCTGTAATCTCAACCACAAGGGAGGCAGAGGTAGGAGGATCATGGTCTGAGGCTGGTCCCCAGGCAAAAGCATGAGACCCTATGTGAAAAATAACTAAAACAAAAAGGGCTGAGATGTGGCTCAAATGGTAGAGCACTTGCCTAGCAAGTGTGTGGTCCTGAGTTCAAACCCTATTACCACCAAACAAACAACAAAGACAAAATTAGGATTTTCCTACTAAGCTCAATAAATACCAACTACATGTCAAACATTAAGAAATAATACTTTTGGGCTGGGATGTAGCTCGGTGGTACAGTGCTTTCCTTGCATGTGTGAGGCCCTGGGTTCGATACCAGCACCAAAAAAAAAAAAAAAAAAAAAGAAACAATACTTTTAAAAAAGGGTTATAAACTTACAGAATATACAAGTTTAGTGTAGTTAAGAAAGACTTATTTGGGTTGGGATTTAGGTCAGTGGTAAAGCATTTGCTTGGTAAGTTGGAGGCCCTGGGTTGGATCCCTAGCACCTCCCCCTGAGGAAAAAAAAATTACCCAAAGTTACACTTTGGTGCTTCTGATAAAGGCAACTCCTAGACTAGAGCATCACCACACAATTACAGTGGACACAAGTACTATCACTCAAAACAAGATTAGATCATGTCCTTAACTTCTAATTTCCATTATAAAAGTCAGGTGTTTGCAGTAAGCAACTAGAACTCAAGAGAGGAAGGTGGCAATTTTATTTAAAAATGAACATTTATATTTTATGAATACAGAAATAATTCTTTACAGGTCTCAAGAAGAACAAGGTTTCCTAGTAAGAGGATTTATGGCCAAATTCCTGTCAAGACAGACCCAGTGCAGTAAAAAATTCAACAGCTAAAAAATGCTTTTCCACATCTATTTTCTAAATAAATATTAGTTTTAGAATCAGACGTAGGACAATTAAAGAAAAGGCAGGTGGAAGACTTTGTTTCATAGAGATTAGAAATTTAAAAGTATTTCTTTCAACACACTGGCAAGTCAAGAATGTAGACTGTACCTGGTCTGAGACAGGTCTGTGGGATGTCCTACCAGACATGTGGGTGGGACATAGATGAACACTGTGGGAATATCTTTGCAAAACTTTCTTGATCTTTTATGTTTCTAAACCGATGTACTATACAATTTTAAAATTGCAACATGTCTGATTTAGCCACATGAAAGCATTCTATTAAAAAAAAGCAGCAATGTGAAAAAATTACTAAAAAAATAAATCACTGAAGATTTTACCTTTTAATATTCAACTTTATCTTCATTAATTCTAATACTTAATAAGATCTACTAAGGAAAAGATAGATTTTCCTTTAAAATCATAAGACAGCTTCAGTTCCCATGATAAAATTTGTACCTTACAGAAAAACACATATGATAAACAGAAGCTATTGCACTTAATCAACATTATGTAATAAAAATACCAAAGGACTAGAAAGTCTTGCCTCTTGCATAAACTAGCTGTATTACTGTGACAAATTATTAGTCCCTCTGGTCCTTTTGACTCTATGTATAAATGCAGATGCTAATGTTCCTCACTGGTGATCAGAAGAGGGAAGGCACAGTCTTCAGCCTGATTCCTCCTGGATCCGAGAAGAGGGCCCAGTGCTCCAATGCTCTAACCACACTCCCATACTAGGATGCCACTAGGCCCTTCTGATTCTGGAGCTCACTGGAGGCCGGGGTTAATCTTGATGAAATAGTCATAATGTCCTAAATGCCTGCATGAAAAGTCTCCATTGGGACCCACACACTTAATTAGTAAAGCAGCACTGAGGCTTGAGTCTAACTCCATCTCTAACCTCTGTGTGAAGTCTCAGGCATGCACCTTAGTCACTGCCTCAATGTCCTCTTTTGGGTCAGGAGAACAACAAATCTGATAATGTATTTGGCAATGTTTTGAAAATGATAAAATATTAAATATACTCAGTATTATTCCTGCATTAGCAAAATAAGTTGCATTTGTACATAACCATATAGCTTTTAGTTTTCAATTGTTTATTTTTTGTTTTGAAGAGCTGTTAAAGCATTATCTAATTCATAAATTTAAATCAGAAACATTTTTATTGTACACACTAAAATAATGAAGATATACAGAAAACAAATTAAAGTATCTTATTGTGCCATCTGCATCTGCCTCCATCTACTCCCCCACCACAAGTATTTTCTATGTATCCTTTCAGTTACCCCTATACAATTACATGTACAGATTGCTAAAACATCTCTGTGTTTTTGAGATGGGTTTTATTATACTGCCTAGACTGGCCTTGAACTCCTGAGCTCAAGAGATCCTCCTACCTAGGCCTCTCAAGTAAGTGAGACTACAGCCATGTACCACCATGCCTAGCTCTCACTATATCCTTTAACCATATACAATAGATAGAGTTTCAGGTCAGCACATGTAAAGGACGACCTCAATGGCTTTACTCCTGCATAGTATTCTTTACTTGTCATAGTTTATTTAACTGTTTCATTTCTGATGAACATTTATTTTGCTTTTAACTTGCTACTGTAACAAAACAGAACACTCTTCTAGTTAGTTTCCTGATAGATGTAAATCACCACAAACTTGGTGATTTACAACAATTTTCTGAAGCTCAGAAGTCTAAGATCCAGGTGTTACAAGTACTGCTTCCAAGTAGAGGCTCTGGGGAAGCATTTGTTCCATGACTTCTCCAGTTCCCAGTATGCACCAATCCCTGGCATTCCAAGGATTCCCATCCTTACCTGTCTTAACACAGCCTCCTTCTCAGTCTCATCACCTTAATTATATCTACAAAGTCTTTTATTCCAAATAAGGTCACACTGTGAGTTTCTGGGTAAACATATCCTTATGGAGCCACTATTTAACCCACTACAGTATACAGGAAAATATATCAGATAGGGTAAAAAAAAAATTACACTGCTAAATTATAGTTCAAAGGTTTTAAATGAGTTGTGTATTGTGATGCACACCTGTAATCCCAGCACTTGGGAGGCCGGAAAATCTGGAGTTTGAGGACAACCTGGCAAACATCAACCAAAGGTTTTAATCATTTTACTTCGATCAACAGAACACTGAAGAGTGCACTCTGTATTCTTGCCAATTTTTAACTACCTGTGTATAAGATGTAATTTTTTTGGTGGTACTGGGATTTGAACTGAAGGCTTTGTACTTGGTAGGCAGGCACTTTACAGCTAAATCCACACCTCCAACCCCTAAATTCTGTCATTTAAAAATAACAATGTGTCTTTTCTTTCTCAATTTTAAAGAATTCCTCATAGTCTAGATATTAATATTTTATTATATGTGTAACCACAATTTTCTCCAAATATGTCACTTATCTATCTTTGTTATCATTCACGATGCAACAATTTTTAATATTTGTTTATGGTCCCCAGATTTTGTTTAACATTTAGATTTTTAATTCTCTTTATTTTGTGACAAGACAAAGTGGGACAAATATAGACCTATGAGATGCACAGGCATATTATACTCAGTCTGCAAATGTTTTATAAATGAGAAACAACTGAAGAGCCAGAGAGGCTAACTATGGAAATACAACAAAGAGGAAAAACTGGAGAAGGCTCAGAGGATCCAACAACTACTGATGTATAACCATGTCTTAGGCACCCAGAGGAAAAGGAAAGTAGGACACATTTTCTACCCATCAGAAATTTACATTTAGGTAGAAGTAAAAAATATTTTAAGAGACCATGACTGAAGGGAAAACAAACAAACCAAAAAAACCCAAAAAACCCAAAAATTTAGCAAAAGGCTTCAAACCACTGAAGTGCATGGAATTGACAGCCCAACAGGAGAGAATTCTGATAAACCTCAAAGACATGGTGAGCTGCAACTTAAACCCCCAAAAGTTTTCAAGCTTTCATCAAAGTATAAGAAACAAAAGAAAAGCACTCTTCAAAATTAAACAGCTCCATAAGCTTTTGCAAAGTTCATTCCTATAAGCAGCACTCGGCTCAAGAAGTCCTCCCTCCTCTTCTAACCATACTCCAAAACCTTGTTCAATTTAAACTATGTTTGTATTCTGTATAAATAGAATACACGGTGTATTTCTTTCTCCCAAAATATGTTACGACATTCATCCAAATTGCACCCAGCTGCAGACAGTCCATTCTCACTGCTGCAGAGAATGCAAATATGCCCATTTATCATTCCTTGATTCCACTAAGGATGGCTCTTATGAAAAATACTGCCATGAACATTCTAGTGCACACCCTTTTGGTAAACACACGCTTTCATTTCTGTTGGGAATATCCTAAGAGTGGAAGTGCTAGATTATGGAATACACATATATTCAGCCTTAGTAAATACTGTCAAACAGTTTTACAAAGTAGTTGTGTAACTCCTAGGCAATGTAAGAGCTCTAGTTTGCTATGTTCTTGTCAACAATTATTTTCATTTTTAGCCATTCTGGTGGTACAGAGCAAACAAAATTATTATGAATAACGTGAAATTTCAGAAACAGGTAGCAACTCTTACAAAAAAAGATTAAATAATGAGAAAGTATACAGAGTTGGGTATTAAAGTGTTACAAAGAACTAATTTCGCTAATGAAATGAGAAGGGGCAGTAAATACACACTAAAGAGCAGAATGAAAGCCAGTTCAACCATGGAGTCACCAAAGAGTCTATACAAGCAGGGGACAATATTACACAGGAAGTAGAAGCGCAGTGAGGAAGTGACTCTGCCCTGGAAACTGTATGCTGTAACAGGAGCTCTCTGGATAAATGTCCATACTTCTACAGAGACAAGGACTATTTTCATCCAGAAAAATGATTATCAACTAAATTTTAAATGTTATTTTATGTTAAAATATATTTCATCACAAAGTTACAAAAGAGCTTTTCGGTGTGCTACCATGTGTATAACTGCCTGTCTAAACTATGGAAGATACATTTCTTTAACAAGCTGCAGCATATAATTTGATGAGGGCACATATTTTCAGTAACAAAGAAAAAGAAAAAACCCAAATGGAATCTAATCATAGTACCTTACACCTGCCTAAAAGTTAACTTTGAACAAAAGTCCAGACTTTTGCTTAAAACCATTTTAAAATAAAACTGACAAAAAGGGAAAATGTTCCTTCTATTTTTCAAGTTAGTAAGAATATAACCTGGCCTCACTACAAGCTCCTAAGAATGAGGACTTTATCTTGTAACTTATCACAGCACTTCTCCACAGGTTTAGATGGTACTCTCAGCAGGAAATACAGCAAATCCTACTTACTGACATATTAGAATCTGTAATTACTGACCAAATTATCACACACTCCTCTTTGTATGGCTGGAAGGTGGTTTACATAATAAATTCTTACAGATCTAGTTCAAAATGCTCAATCATTTTTAAACACAAATTTGTGAAAATGTACAGACTAAAAAAAAATGCATAAAAACAAAAAACACAAACTTTAAGAATAAACTAGAAGACCACAAACTATGTCCAAGATCATCTGTTAACAGATAAAATTTCTTTCTAAATAAACTTTTAGCTAATTATTTCTCCAAAGTTCTCTCGCTGAGATTTAGATAATTACTCCAACCAATGAACCATATTGCTAATCTATTTTTATTTATTTTTTTGGTGATACTAGGATGTGAACTCAGGGCCTCATGCTTGCTAGGCAGGTACTCTACCACTTGAGCCACTCTGCCAGCCCGTATTGCTAATTTATAAATGCTGATTCTTTTAAGACAATTAGTGGCAGTCTCTGATAAAAACTGCATGATTTCCTAACATTTTATTTACCTGACAACTTCCTCACCCATACCCCACCCCCCATGGTGGAAATCAAATCCAGATCTTTTTGCGTTTTTCCACTTAGTCACATCCCCAGCTTGCGAGATCTTTTCAAGGTTAGAGTCACTGACATCTATGCTAGCTATTTACATGTAAGAGAGTACCCAACAGAGTTTAAAATGTGTATATAATCCATGAATCACATTATCCATGAATTTTGGAAATTTAATTAATCAAAGTTTTAGGGAATATAAAAATGACTGGAGTGAAAGCTCTAAGAAAGCATTAAAATGTGAATTAAATATGACCAGGAGAAAATGACCAACAGATTGAAATGAAACTTCCTGAGGGCAAAGAGTTTTTCAACTGAAGAGACAAAAACAACAGCTGGGAATGAAAGACAGTGACTGTTGCAGGGTTGATTGTGCATAAGCATCAATACAATCAATCAATAAGCAGTCATAATGTGAGGGTGCTCCACTCAGCGTGGTGCACTGTCAATCTCTAATCCCTATGACTCTATATTGTTCTCGAGATTAATGATGACTTGTGAAATGTTGAATCACAACAGAATGGGAGTACTCAGATACAGCTGAGTAAATACTAAGATTTGCTAGTCCAACTCTTGCCATGCGGGGTATAGCTGGTTGTACTAAAAATAAAATGCTAAAAACTCACTCACTGTCTTCTGTGGGAAGCACCTGCAGGAGTAAATCCACTCTATTATGTCATCTTTGTTCACCACATCTAAGGAGTCCAACATATCCAGTCCAGAGAGTGCAAAAAATGCAATTGTCAACCTACAAGAAACAAACGTAAAATACCACCTTATGTATCAAACTACTGAAATTCTGCATAGAAAAGTAGCAAGCTCACTCTACATTTCGAACAATTTAAATAATATTCCCACCTTGTCAAAGTCCACCCCCCTCCAAAAAAAAAAAACCACTCCCACAAATTATTCTTTAATAGATCAGGCAAACCTTTGTTTTAATTTTTTAAAAAGGAACATTTAGGGCTAGGAAACCAATCCTAAGCAACTTAAGCATACATGCATGTAATGAAAACAGTATATAAGCATCTCAAAGGCTAACAGTAGATTTAAAAGAGAGAATTCCCTGCACCTAATCAGTGCAAATAAGGCAAAAGGCTGGGAAATACATGAAAGTCAATTCTCCCTAACTTACCAAAAGCAATTATGCTTATTTAGAGCTTATGCTTACTTCTTGAAGAATTTAGAACCAACTTATCTTTTTTGTTTAAAAAAAATCAATTAATAATACATTTTGGGATATAAGGAATACTTTTAAAAAAATAAATTATTATGCATTTCAACTCCATTTTCCCAGAAGGGAACATTCTTTGATGGAAAAAAGAAAATATTAAGGCATATCCTCTCTATCCAAGAATGCACTAAATCAGAATTCTACATCTTAATGTTTCATATAAAAATCAACATCTCAGTGGTTGATTTTAACACAGTTTAAGTATAATTCTTTTTATGTTGAAAAACATTTTTAATGTTCCTTGATTGAGTACTGACCTCATTTCTGTAGTCTTGTAATTACCATGAGTACCAATTATAAGTACAAATTACCTGGTCTAAAATCTTGGAATAGAGCCTGACGCATGCTGCAAACTTTTCAAGGTTTCAAGAAAAAATTAAGCCTTAATGTCCTGAAGCATCCCTTGTGTGTAATAAATTAATGATGCACCTAGAACAGCATGACCTAGCATGGTATTACCAACTTTAGGAGAAATGAGAAAATAGTTTTGTTTCATTTTTTTCAGGGAGTAATTTTCAATCTGATCCCTGATGAAAAAAGGCAGCCCCAACCCATTAGGTAACAAGCAAAAATATCAGAGCATAATTTAATTCTGGCCAAACCTTAAAGGCAAAAACTAGAAGATATTTTTTGATATATGTAAGAATAATAAATATTTGGGAAACTTATATTATTGAGAGACTATCACCATGTATTAACACTGAGCTAGGAAACTGCTCATGTATTATCCCAATTTAATTCTAACAACCCACTGACACTAAGACTTGTCTAATTAGGGAGATTTATAACATCAGGATTAAAAACCCCTTTATGTGGGAAATAGTATTGTGCAGCAATCCAGAATTCAAACTCTTGCAGTCAAATGAGCTACCTTCAAATTCTTCTTTGGCCAATTTCTTGCCCCATGACTGGCAGGACACTTAAAACTTTTTTAAGTCTTAGTTTCCAATGATGTAAAGTATCACTATACATCACATAGTGACTGCGATTACCTGCCCACGACAAGTACACAATAAATGGAAACCATTATTACTGGTGTTTGCTCTCATTTGTAAACCACATGAGTAATAGTGACCTGAGAATCTTCTAGTCATACCCTAACACTACAGGCCTTCTCTTTGTTTGTCAACATTTCCCCAAAATAAGATGATCCTTTAAGACACTGGAAAAGACCTCTATTTGATAGCAGCCAAATCTGAAAGTCACTGCTCTTGGTGATAATTGTTTCTCATGAGAAAAGAACTACTTTGTTCATGGTACATGCTCAAATATTTGTTAAATTAGCTAACAAATAAATCTTTCGTAATACTACATCTAACCTTCTTGGAGTGCTTTAATGAGGTTTTCAGTTTGGTATAATCTATAAAGTGAATATTTATGGTTAGATTAAATTAAGCACCTAATAATTTAGTTTATTAAAGCATTATTATAGTGACCATTTCCTATTATGTAACTTTTAAAGATCTGGCTGTTCTAGAAGTTTAGGCAATTAGTTTTTATTTTATAAGGCATTTACAGTCTCCCTAGTCTTTCTGTTCTCATGTTCATTTTCCCCTATGTATCCTGTGTTAAAGTCTATCTTGGCCTACCATTCTACACTTTCTCTGCTCTTTTAATGCCTCCTTTATCTCTACTGCATCACAATCTAGCAGTGAATAATTAGTAGCATGGGGTGCTTATAAAGATGCACATTCCTGGAGCCCTCCTCCTGGGGTGGGCCTGGGAGTATGCATCATAAGAAGCACCGTAGTGGTTCTGGTGCAAGCTGAAGTCCATGACTTTTGCCTGAGAGGAGAACCAAATATGCAAAGAGATTATTACAACAGTGCTTCTCAACGCTAAGGTACACAACTAGCCTGGGATCTTGTTGAAACACAGACTCTGATTTCGAAGGTCGGGGACTCTGAGATGCCATGTTGCTAATAAGCTCTAGGTGATGCTGATGCTGTTCATGCCCTGACCACACTCTGTTTGGTACTTACAATGATGATATTCAAGGGCATTAAGGAAATAGATGATATTCAAGGGCATTAAGGAAATAGCTAACTAGCTCAGGAAGGCTTCTCGAAAGAAGTAACATGCTCTAAGTACTGTTAGAGCATGTTCTCAGTGTTTTGTAAAGCAGGTGAGTGTTAAGCAGAGAACTTTATTAATCAGTTCTCTAATACTGGTTCAAAATGTCAAGGAGGTGTGGTACAAAGAAGTAAACATGAAGAGGTAAACATAGGCCAGATCGTGGAAGGCTTTGTGTGCCCTGTCAAGAAACTTTAATATGGTATCAGGTTAAGTGATGAAAAGTCACCAGTGGATCTTTAAGGTGTGATACAGATTTCAAAGTGATCACTGAATTTGTAAGTGAGTAACTGTATTGGTTTAGACAGGATCAGAAGCAGAAAGACTCATTAGGAAGCTGTTGCAGTAGTTCAGAAAAGAGGGGCTGGAGTAGTGGAAGTAGGGACAGAAAAGGCACATGCCTGAAATTCCAGCACTTGGGAGGCTGAGGCAGGAGGTTCTAGGCCAGCCTGGTGTACAAAGTGAGACCCTGTTTCAAAAAAAGATGCAGTAGTCATCTCACGATTCCAGGACTGGAGCTACTCTCATGTGCTCTGGCGAACAAGAGGCAAAGAGCAGGTTTAGAAAAGACAATGATGGTTTCTACAACAGCACTTACATAACCTAACCATCTAGCTCTTCACTAGATGTTCAGTAAATGTTTCTTAAGTACTTATGATAGTAGAAAAACTATTCCATGTTAAAGAAGTCTAAAAAAACGCATGACTATGCTTAAAAATATTTACAGATAAGCCGGCCATTGAAAAAGTATGAATAAAATAATGCTTAAAATTCCAGCATACACGCGCTACTTCAGCCATTCATTAAAAGTATTTATTTGTGCATCTGTATGCCAGTGACAGAGGTAAAGAAGATCGCACTCCTGGCCCACCCGGCCGCACGGACGTCCTTGGCGACGGCTAGCGAACCCGGCTTCCAGCGCAACCCCACGTCCGCCCCTCCGCCGGGTGGTCTGCCATTCCCGGAAAGTAAGTGTCTGCTAGGACCCCACACACCCAACACCGCAACTGACTCGCAAATTACCAGCGACTACGGAAAAGGGGAGCCCGGGGACTGCTATTTACCTAAAATACGACTTTCTTTTTATACTAACAGACCAAAGTGACTCCCAGACGGGGGGCGGGGAGGTGAAAAGGAAGCTCAGAGCGACAGGAAAAATAGTTGGCAAGTAGAAGAAGGCGGAAACTGGAATTCCTAAATCCCCCAGCTTACAGCGTTCCCCGCCCTTCTGCGGAGGCGGAGGGAACGCGGGGACCGCGGCCGGAGGCCGGAGGGCGCCCCGTTAGCAGTCTCGTCCCGCCGCGCCCGCCCAAGGGTGCCGGGTCCCGGCTGCTCGCGGACAGTGGCCTCGACTCACCTGCTGGTCTCCAGCGAAGAGTAGCGCTCGGGCAAGACCTGGAGGCAGCGCTGGAAAAACCGTACGTGCCGGTCCCGCAGGAAATCCAGGCGCTCTCCCTCCCCACTCGCCGCCAGCAGCTCGTCCTCCATGGCCGCCATACTGCTGCGGAAGTCACTTCTGGTGCGACCCGGAAGCAGTTAGCGTCGGGCATGCCGGAGCCTCGCCGACGACCCGGAGGTGCGAAGGAAGCGACGAAGGGTCAACGGAGATCCCCGGCCTGTACCTTTTCTCTCTTATTTCTCCCTAAGAACTGCGCGATCCAGCCGTGCCTATTCTAAAGCCCAACGATCAGGAAGCACTCTGCAGGTTTTGAAACCCAGCTCATAAATGCCTCCTTCGGAACGTTTGTCTTTGCTGGGTACTGGGGAAGAAACTCCAGTACAGGGGCCATAATTCCGTTTTGAGAAACTCCTGGCCCAAAAGAACCTAAGAGTGTCGATCCGAAATCGGGCAAGGGCCAAGGCTCATTTTTGGAGGGCCACAGTTTGAAGCTGAATGGAGAGGGAAACTAAACCTACAAATTAAATAGCTAATAACACTACGAAAACTCAGGGGTTTTCCTAATCTCTCTAGAGTACCAGGAATCGCAGAAAAGCGTATGTACAGACAGCCCTCTACTACTTACGATGGCTGGCCCTAAAGATCTTAGTAGAATCCACGCCTTCATTTTGGATCTTCCGCAGGCTTGACCAGCCTGTCCTCCGGGGTATCAAGTGCCTGGTATGCCACGAGGAGTCGCCTCGTGGTGCAGGCTAGGTGCAGGCTAGGTTACTAAATGCGTTTTAACGTACAATGTTTTTAACTTCGTAAGGTTTATTGGGTTGTAACCCATCATAGGCGAAATATCGTCTGTTTTCATGTGGTACGCATACCTGAGGCAATGCAATGTGTGGTGTTGCTTGCATCATTTTCTTCTACAAATCCTACAGATTCCCTTGAATCCAAGTGTCACCATACAACAGCAAAATAACATTTTTCCAATTACCTGTGCACTTAAAAAGAAAAATGAAATAATAGGCTTACAGTTGTTATTTTTAAAGTCGGATTTAAGTTGCCTCGGGAGGTTCATGAAGCATTCTTAGGAAGAGGGTCCGTTAAGGATCAAATCAACTGAGTTACTGTATACTCGTTAGCTTTCTCTAAAAATGTACCCTATGGGTTGGTGTTATACTTAACTATCCAAAGCTGCTTGAATGATTTATGGTACTAGTTACTACTTTTTCACATTTTGCATTTAATAAATACTACATTAATAAACATCCTACCGGTCAGAGCTGTCTTTGGTGCCTAGTCTAGAGGAGTTTTCATCCTTACTACAATTAAGATCCATCTCTCACCCCTCCCTCCAGTGCCCACAGATGATCAAAATGGAGTCATACCACAATTTACTAGGATCAAGTATGCATTCGCTATACATGCCTGGGCAATTCTCATCAACCTCAGCTCAAGACCAGCAATATGATCCAAAGCTTGAGAAAAACCTGCTCTGTTGGACTCATTGATTGAGAGATAGATGATAGCCCCCTAGGCAAGGAATAGGGTTGCATGAAGGACTGTGCCCATAAGATGTCTGACTTGTGCCTGACAGAATCACATCTAACTCCCATGAAAGGTCATGCCACGTTACTAGTTAAGCAATGTAAAAGCAGGATGACACAGCATACATATAAATGAATACTATTCAGCCATTAATTAGGTAGAAACACATGAAAATATGTGTAATGCAACATTAAGTGAATATTATTCTGTGTAATGTAATCTTAAATGAGTATGTATTCTATGACTGATGCTATTATAAAATATGTAGATTTGGGGATTATAGGTGCTTTAGAAGATTTATTCTTTAGTACTTTAAAAAAAATTTTCTTATTAATGAACCATTAAAACCAGTACAAGAAAGTATTTATTTGGAATCTCTTCTGTGTACCTTAACTGTGCAACAAAAAGCAGCATGTAAAAAAAAAGCAACACAAGATACACTTCGTATCTCCTAGCTACTCAGTTCTGTTGGAAATTCCCTTGTCTTAAGTATTTTATTTCTAAACAGCTTGAGATCACTTAAAAAGAGTTTTAGAGAATAACAAAATCAAAAGAATTCTTAGGATCTTTTTGATCAGTTTTCTCATTCTGCACCAATAATTGTACTATTAGAATTCAAATCCCAAAGTTTGGAATCTACACACTTGGAATATTAACTGTTACATAAGGAGAAGTTTTTGACTACTACTCAGAAAATTTCCGAGTCATTTAGCTTACATGTATTCAGTTATAAAGGTACTCTAAGATAAAATATATAAGAAATTCCTATACTTTTCTGAATATGGTACCTTTCATACAAAGATGAGAACTAATTAAAGTTAGGGCCTAAGATTTTTATTATATGAAGAGTTGAATTGTGTTTTCATGTATAAAAGTTCAGAAATTTAAAATGAACCCTTCTGACCAAGTGTTTGTCTAGAAATTTAAGAAATTTAAAATGTCACCAAGAAAAATCAGTATTCTGAAGTAGTCTAAGTCAGATGATATTTCAGAACAAAGAACTTCCCTATTTTGAGGTAAACAGAAGGACAAAGGAAAACTGCATTAGTCAGTAAGAAGTAAAAGCCACAAAAATTTTATAAATTTGTCCACAAAGTCCAGAAAGGCAGAGAGGGAACTTGGAATAGCTGAAGGAAACCAAAAGGATGGTATCAATCATACAATTAATAGGATATATGAGATGAGAGGCATATTGTTTAAATAAATTTATATTCCCTATATAAAACAAAGCATGCATCAAACAAATACAAAGTATTGATTACACAAAAATGTAAAAACTGACAAACTACCAATTTGTTAAACTTAGAAAAAATATTAAGTTGATTTCATAACTCTTAAAAAAAGACACTTTACATGTTACTCAAGCTAACTTACTCCAAGTTACAAAAGTTACAAAATTTGGTTTAAAAAAAGTCTATGATTGTCCCAAGTTATTTTGTTGTGCCATGACAAAAACAAAGTATCTTTGAAATGTTTTTGAGTGTTTAATGGAGGAAAGTTTTAACATAAACTTATTTAAGTAACTTACATTAGTAAGAGGGCAATGTACACCTTAAATACTTAGTAGAAACAAATATTGACAATGGTACACAAAACTTAATACCTCTTAATTCACCTATAACACAATAACCAATCTGACTAGGCTAGTGATATTTAAAGAACAAAGTTAACACTCTTTCCTTCTTTAACAAACATGCTAGCATTCTCATCAACTGAGTAACAATTCCATTATCTCATATTGTTCCTTATATTCCTTGTCTCCAGGTTGGAATAGCCCTAAGGAGAAAAAGAGAAAAGCAATCATAAAATAATAGGAAAATTAAAACAACAACAAAAACCTATTTGATTAAATGGTAACTTAAAAATACAGAGATACTTGCTTTATAAACCTGTTGAACTAATAATGGTCGATGCATATAGAAAATTACATGAAATATTAAACATGCAGTTATTGAATTTCCATAAAGTGAATGAACACCCCTTCTAAATCCTTTTTACCGATGTGGGATATGTAGAAGTGGCCCAGAGCCTGTTGGTCCTATCTTTTTGGTTCGTTCTTCCCAACCTTTTGTAGGCTTGTAAAGCCTAGAGGGATCTCGACTAACATTATTTTCAACCTGTAATCAGAAGTAAAATAGTATTAGTTAACTAATGTAAATGAGTAAGATCCTTAGTAAGAGAAACAGTTTTTAAAAAAACATACTTGATACCAGCTAAACAGTAACAAAACTGTTAACTTATTCACAATAAAGTTCTAATTGTGCTCATATAGGTAAAATAAAATTTGGACTACATCTATGTATTAATAAACTATTAGTTTATTTTCTAGCTATTATTCTGTTTCTATTTTAATTCTAAGGGAAATGAAATGCACCTAGGTCTAACAGTTATATAGCTAGACAAATCTAGGATGAGTAACCATCAGTGAGTCCTGTTATTCCATGAAGACTTCAACTGATCTTTAGTTCTGAGTACTGCCAGTGAGATTACACAATACCCGCACCTGCCTTTGGGATAGAGCACAAGTTCATAGAGAAAGAATGAAAAGAATGACAAGTAGACTAGAGAAAGAAGTCAGGGTGCTTATAAAATGCTAGAAATCAAACGAGAGTTGCTTAACATGTACTGTTATGCTTTCTGATATGTAAATAAATATGACATTTAAAGTCAATACAGAAATGGGATATAAAGAAAGTAGGTTTGATGAATCAGGATAATTGGTAGAAAGATGGTGAAAGATTGATAAATGGGCACTAAGTTATTGCTAGATAGGAACAAGTTCTGGTGTGCTATTGTACAACAGGGTGACTACAGAGAGCAATTATGTACTTTTATTTCAAAAAGCTAAAAGGAAGGATTTTAAACTTTTTAGTCAAAAAGAAATGTTTGAGATCAGTTTAATCTCATTTAAACATGACTCAATGTACACATCTATTATAATACTACATCACCGTATTAATATGTATGATTTTTACGAATTGGTTAACAAAATTAAAAGCAATATAATTGGGTATGGTGGTACATGCCTGTAATCCAGGCAACTAGGAGGTCAAGACAGAAGGATCAGGAGTTCAAGGCCCAACTGGACTACAAAGCAAGACCCCTGTCTCAAAAATGACCAAAAATCTCAGCACAGATTACCTTTTCTTTTAATTTTACAAGTTTTCTTTGTTTTTCTGCCTTTTCATCTTCCTTTGCCTGTCTATCTAGTATTTTCAATTCAAGTTTATGCAAATCCTAAAAGATACCAATAAAAAAGGTTACATTAATAAAACAAAATTAACTAGAATTTTCTTCAAAGTTGAGTTGTTTGCAAATAAAATTACCTTTCAATATTGACTTTTTCCAACAAATATTTAACACATGCACATCCTTCTGGGTCACTTTCTTTTAGTGTCACTTGCTTTACTTAAAGGCTCAATGAAAAACTTTTAATAGGTAAGGTAAGCCCATTTTCACTTATCAATACAAATACAGCTAGTTTTAGATCTCTCATTTTGCATTTTCTGTCTCACTGATTTTTTTTAAGTCTTTTATTATATAGCCTGCTTACCTTTTGGGGAGAGGAGGCATGGGATCTTTTGTTATTCAGTAACACTTTTATATAGGAACTGAAATAAATGATCTAAAATTTCCCCTCTTGAAAAAGGAACCCTTTTACACTGTTGGTGGGAATGTAGACTAGTACAACCACTCTGGAAAAAAATTTGGAGGCTACTTAAAAAGATGGACATCGATCTACCATTTGATCCAGCAATACCACTCTTGGGGATATACCCAAAAGACTGTTACTCCAGAGGCACCTGCACATCCATGTTTATTGCGGCACTATTCACAATAGCCAAGTTATGGAAACAGCCAAGATGTCCCAGCACTGACGAATGGATTAAGAAAATGTGGTATCTATACACAATGGAATTTTATGCAGCCATGAAGAAGAACGAAATGTTATCATTCGCTGGTAAATGGATGGAATTGGAGAACATCATTCTGAGTGAGGTTAGCCTGGCTCAAAAGACCAAAAATCGTATGTTCTCCCTCATATGTGGACATTAGATCAAGGGCAAACACAACAAGGGGATTGGACTATGAGCACATGATAAAAGCGAGAGCACACAAGGGAGGGGTGAGGATAGGTAAGACACCTAAAAAACTAGCTAGCATTTGTTGCCCTTAACACAGAGAAACTAAAGCAGATACCTTAAAGCAACTGAGGCCAATAGGAAAAGGGGACCAGGAACTAGAGAAAAGGTTAGATCAAAAAGAATTAACCTAGAAGGTAACACCCACACACAGGAAATCAATGTGAGTCAATGCCCTGTATAGCTATCCTTATCTCAACCAGCAAAACCCCTTGTTCCTTCCTATTATTGCTTATACTCTCTCTACAACAAAATTAGAGATAAGGGCAAAATAGTTTCTGCTGGGTATTGAGGGGGGGAGCGGGAGGGGGTGGAGTGGGTGGTAAGGGAGGGGGTGGGGGCAGGGGGGAGAAGTGAACCAAGCCTTGTATGCACATATGAATAATAAAAGAAAAATGAAAAAAAAAAAAAATAAAAAAAAAAAAAAAAAAAATAAAATTTCCCCTCTTAATGTATTTTTGCCTACTAGTTTTCTTCATAGCTCCTTTGTTTTATGAATTTTGCTGCTGTGTAATTTGGTGTACATAACAATTCATAACACATATCCATAGCAGTCTTCTTATGTGACTCATTTTGCATTTTCAAGTACCCTTTGTTCTCTCATATGTGTGGAAGCTAGACCTATAAGTTAGATGTATATATAGAAATATATGATCACATTTATACACACACACACACATATATATAGTGAGAGAGAGAGAACAAAATTGTATTAGTGAATCTGTCTTAGGGGCCAATGGAAGGTGAGAGAGAGAAAGAAAATGTTACAGAATGAAAAATATTGAAAAAACCTGTTTATATATGAATATAATATAATGTATTGTATAGTAAGCTCTCAAATGAGGAGCATGGTGATAGAGAATGAATAAGTAATGGGGGGGTTTAATTTGATTAAAGCACAATACACACAGACCTGAAGTACTAAGGTGATACCCACTTGATTATCAATATGCATTTAATCCAAAAACAATGAAGGGCAGTAGGGAAAAATAAATCTTTTCTGGGGGTGTATGCCAGTAGAAGGGAGTGGGCACAAGGAAAGGGTGAAGGAGGGTATATATGGTGGATATATTTTATATCTCTCTATGAAAATAGAAGAATGAAACCCATTACAACTGTTCTAAAAAGGGGAGGAGGGGGGAAGAGGGAGAACAATGGAAGTTACATAAGTTCAACTAAGATGCATTGTGAGCACATATGTAATTATCACAATGTAATCCCGCATATGAGTATTATATGCTAATAAAATCATTTAAAAACAAAGTCAATACATCAGTAATAAAAAAAAAGTAGCTTTTGTCTTTTTAGACCTTTCCAGCCTCATCTCCTGCCCATTCCCATTTCATCTCCCCCTAGATTCCCTAAGAATATTGAAGTGTTTATAGTTTTTCCCACAAACCATGCTGTTATACTCCTCCACACCACTATTCATGCTGTTCCTTCTACCAGGAAAGAACTCTCCTTTCCTTCCCCTTTCTCCCATCAAGACTCAACTCAAGCATCACCTTCCCTCCAACACTCAAGGATGTCGCAACATCTGCTCTTTATCTCTACCTCCTAAAATCCATTGCATCCACACTTGAGTCACTACAGTACTCACCACTTCATACTGAAATCTCCTACTTGCACACATCCTTGCCACTGGATTATAACCTACTAGAAATAAGGGAGCGAGGCTTACTCATTTTGATATTAATACTATGCACAGGTCTGATATATAAGATACTCTCAGTTAACTTTTGCTGAACCGAATCTGGAAGTAATACCTCCACGTACAGCATTTAGAAATTATTCAGGGGGTTGGGTGTGTGACTCATGTGGTAGAGCACCTGCCCAACAAGCACAAGGCCCTGAGTTCAAACCATAGTACCACAAAAAAATTCTTCAGGAAGTACATTTACTCACTCTTTCTTGAAACCTGGAAATTTCGTCAGCAGCAGTTTTCCTTTTTTCTGCCTTTTCTGCTTTTTCTCTCATCTCCTTTTCAAGCCTCAAATATTCTTCCTGTTCTTTCTTCTGCTGGGTGTAACTTTCTAGTAGTAATTTTAGTTTAAACTGGCGCTGGCGTTCCTTTTGCTGCTTTTTCTCTTTTTCTTCGTCGTCTTTTAACTGGGAAGCATATTTCATTGATATTTCTATACTTTTCTGTTTTTTCCAAGCTTCAACTGCCAATTTCTGCTTTCTTCTTTGTTCCTCTTTTTGCTTCTGCTTATCTTCTGGCTTATTATGAGAAATGGTAGGTATACTGTCTGCCTTTTCTTTTGACTTGAAAATTTCCTCTTTTTTTTGGAGTTTCTTTGTTTTCCAATTCTGGATAGACTAAATGATTATGAAAAAAGATAGCAAGACAAAAGTGTTTTTAAATAACCTGAATATTTTAAAATCCAACCTCAACTCTATCTTTCTGGAAAGAATAGTATTGCAAGATGCTTGATGCTTAGGTTTTTGTTTTGTTTTGAACCAATGTAATTTTTAAAAATTACTGTATCTTTTAAAACTCTGAATAATGTGTTATTCTTTTGGCCTTCTTCTTCCTCTCTCATTCCTCAAGCTCACAAGGACTGCACCATATGAAGTATCCTCCTCCTGTTACCTGCTTTGTTTTCACAGGCAATGTCCCTTTCCTCTAATCATCTCACTTTTGCTTCCAAATTCTAAGTCTAGAATCTAGGTTTCTGAATAACCTTTCTCTGGTCAAGTATTAGAAGAGGACTTAAAAGTGGAGTGGTTAAGAGCATGAGTCCTGAAACCAGACTATTTGGGACAAAACCCTGGCTTTGCCATTTGTTAGGTGTGACCTTGGATGAGTCACTAAATTTTTCTCTCTTCATTTGCTCATCTCTGAAGTGGTAGATAGTCTTTCATCCACAGGGCTGTCATGAAGACTAGATGAGTCAGTGTGTGGCACACAGTACTTCGTAAGTGTAAAAACAAACATAAAGAATGACGGCTCAATAACTGTAGTGTGGGCGTGTAAAGATTATTTAAAATCCTAGCAGCCTTCTCTGTACCACTGTGGATGTATCTACTGCTTTACTTTCCCCCAAGTCAGGAAACTGTTTCCTCATCTTTCCTTATGGTCTATTATTCATTCCTTCAATAAATCTACATGGAACATATATTACATGGAAGGTAGTATGATGGGTTCCCTAAGAGAATAAGCAATACCAAATGCCATCTAGTACAGTGCTACTCAAAGTGCCAGTCCTCAAAAGCCTCAGAAACTCATGCTTCCTTTAATGAGAACGTTTTCTATGGAAAAAGTCAACAGAGGTGAACTGCACTTTCTGGGTTGTTGATGCTCAAGCAGTCACCTTATCTTACTGCAGATCAATAGCAGACTGCAAACCAATATTCAGTCTACAGACCAGTGTAAGCAACACTGTTCTAGGTGAGATGTGACATAGGCAAGTCATAGCACATGGTAAAAAGGAAATAAACAGTGTTAGTGGAAGCCTGAGAGTGGCTACTTATATTTGGGTGGCAAGAAAAGGGAGCATCTGATCTGATCAGACTTTTATAACTGTGAAGTAGAAGGGGAAAGAAAGAAAGAGGCACATAAACTAAGAGCAAGATGCTCACGGGTACTTAGAAAGTTCACGGCATATCTGAGGTTAATATGAAATATACCTTTGTTTATATGAAATGCAGGATATATTAAAGGAAGTGGGGGGATAAAAACTTCTTAATCTCCATAGATTTAAACTGCATTCCTGACACTTGCCCAGGACTTCCCTCTCCCCCTCCAACATGTCCTACTTCAAATAAATTGTACCTCTGCTTCACACTCTTGTCTGCCTCAGTGCTACATTCAATCAACTGTCAAATACCAGGAAACAGAGTGGTTGGCACAAGAGAAATAGGGAATGGGGTGGTTTTATTATAAGAACACTCTTTTCTTAGAGAGGAAGTCTCAAATGTTAGCTTGTAACAAAAACCCAAGAAGGTTTGGTAAAGCAAGGATTATGGGTCCCACCCCAGAGTTCTGTTAGGTCTGAGGTTGGGGCCTGGTGAATTATCACCAGTTCCCAGGTGATGCTGACTTTGTTGCTTTTCAGACCACTCTGAGAATGACTCCATGTTTTCAGTATCCTACAATAAAAGCCCAAATAATTCTTAATAATTTATTCTTTAAAAATGACTTATATTTCAACAAGGCAGAGCAGCTCATGCTTGCAATCCTGGTTATTTAGAAGGCAGAGATCAGGAGGCTTAAGGTGTAAGGCCTGCCTGGCAAAAAGTTAGCAAGACCCTCCCCCCATCTCAATTAATAAAAAGTTGGGTGCAGTGGCATATGCCTATGATCCCAGACACAAGGGAGGTGTAACTAGGAGGATCGTGCTCCAGGCAAGCTGGGCATAAATGCAAGACCCTATTTAAAAAATAGTTAAAGCACAAAGGGCTGGAGGGGCATGGCTCAAGTGGTAAAGCACCTGCCTAGCACTTGCAAGGCCCTAAGTTCAACACCTAGTACCAGAAACAAAACAAAACAAAAACATGCATGCTTCAAAAATATTTTTAGAACTCCCCAAATCTCTGTACATTCAACTTATTTGGGGAGGGCCCACGAGAACAACAAAACCCTGCTACTTCTCTAGAACTTTAAAAATGGAATCTTTAAAGGTTTCTTTAATGCCCCCTAGGCACGTTGCCTATTGAACAGACATGTATTTCTTGTTAAACCATGCAAATTAAAGTTCATCACAGCTTAAATATAAAAAAAAAAAAAAAAAAAACAAAAAACCTCAAGACTTTTGGGTAATCTGTTATCCCATGATTCTCAAGCTGGGTAGATTAGGTAATGTCACAGATATTTTTTAATGGGTCAGGGGAGACACTGGAGAGTGAACCCAGAGCCTTGTGCATGGTAGGTAAGCACTCACCTGCTAAGCTACATTCCCAGACACTGGAGACATTTTTAATGATCACAGTTAAGAGAGTGCTACAAGCTGGATGACAGAGATGCTTCTAACTGTTCCACAATGCAGAGGACTACCCACATAAACAAAGAACCACTCAGCCCCAAAACATCATGGTGCCACGGTTGAGAAACCAAAGCCAGATTAATATTTTGGGAAAACAGAACTTTGGGATATTTGCTATAATCAAGGATTACTTTTTTCTTCTGGGGCAGGCAAATTTTTCAGTCTTTAAAATAAGCAATGAGGTTAAAGTTGAAAAATCTCAAAGACACTTTTAATAATTGAAGTGATTTCTTCTATTGCCTCTTGATCTTTACATCCAAAATAATGTGGTCTTTGCTGTAAGGTGATGTCTGTTAAGTCTGAGTGGATCTGAATTCCCCACGGTTCTGGGAGGTAGACACAGAGGGTCTGCTCACACAGTCAAAAGCTCTATGGCCCATTGTGTAGAAATAATTGACCTGGAGGGCATCAACTACAGATCCATTACTTGGGTAAAATTACTTAACTTCCCAACCCTCAGTTCCATATTCTCTGAGATGGGGTTGCTGCAAAGGCCATCAACTGTTAGGAGTGTAGCACAGTGCCTACGACACAAAAAACATATAATGAATAATTATTACCTCTTTTTTTCTTTCTTCTAGAGCCAGAAATTTCTGATACCATTTCTCATGTTGTTGAACTTCATCCTGTGTCCTTCCTGGAAGGTGTTCTAGAAGTTCTCCAACAAATGCTGGCTTCCCTTTGTGTTTGTTTCGCACTTTTACGAAGTTCTGGTGATCGTAATCATCCCAGCCCCCTTGCCGCCCTCCTGTTTGCTGAAGGAATTTTTCAAATTCTACCACTTCCTCAGGAAGAGAACTCGGGGTGACTGTGCCTACAAGAACTTTGCTTGAGACTGCTCTGAAAGCTTTCTCTGTTTCTGAGTTACCCAAAGCCCAAGTGTCGATTTTTCTTGAGATGGCATTCAACTCATTATTAGTTGTTTTCTCTTCTTTAATAAGCTCTTCATATCTAAAATTAAGAAAAATAAAATCTGAATAAGAACAGACCAACCAACCCATATTTTCTCAAATTTTATTATTCTTGACTCTTCACATTGTCTCCCCTGCTGACATTACTAACATTTATAAATCCAAGCCTGAAAGAGGTTTACTTCCTCAGAGATAAAAAACAATCTTTCGGATTCTTATTTAGGATTTTTCTAGTATCCAAATATGAATGAAAATTCACAGGGGGAGAAATGACCCAAGCATTGTATGCACATATGAATAATAAAACAATAAAAATTAAAAAAAAAAAAAAAAAGAAAATTCACTTTAAAGCCATCCAACCCTAAGACAAAAGACAGGTGTTATATTGCTTTTGTGTAAGATTCATAATAAGGTTGAACGCAATAGCCTGTTAGTGAGTTGTTAAAAAATAAGGGTCAATGATCTTATTTTAAAACATACATCAGTCTCTGCTCTTCTTTAAAAGTATTGATTGCATTTTCAATTTCTTCCATCGTTTCTCTGAGCTTTTCAACAACTGTAAGAAAAAAAGGCCAAGAAAAAATTATTTTTCTGTCATATTTTAGTATGGCTAAATTAAAATTAAGAAAAAAACCACAGAATGTTCCCCTAACTTAAAAACATTTCTTAGCCTAAGGAATCAGAAAAACTCTGCCTAAATTTTTATGATGGCATTTTTTTCTGATTACAGATTTTTTTCTATGTACCCATATCATTAAATATCATAACTAGTATTACTTTTAACAGCAACAAAAACATGATTTCATCCTTAACATACTTCTGTTTGACTGACAATTCTTATCTATAAAAAAACTATCACTACCACTCTTTTCCAATGGTTCCATATGGTATTCCATGGTTTAAAACAATCCTAATTCATTTAATCAATTCTGCAACTGATAAACCTTTAAATATGCAGATTACTATAATAAAAATCTTTGCATATATATTGTAGCATGCTAACTTAAGTTTTTTTAGAGAATAACTGACAAAACTTGAAATGTCTACATTAAAAAAGTATGTCCATTTACAGTATGCTGGATACATCATATTGTTCTTCAAGGAGGTGCTACCAACTCACAGCTCCTGAGCGCTCCTGCCCATATACTTTTAACCATTTCCAAAAGGAAAAGAGAAAATTTACCATAGGTCTAATTGACATTTGTGTGATCATTAGTAAGCTCGAGCATTTTTCATACATTTTGTATTTCTTTTGCTACACTGTGCACCTTATAATGTTTGCCCATTTTTTATTAGGTTGTTTATCTTGATTGCTCTAATTTGTAGGCATTCTACATATTTTATGGACATTAGCTTTTTAAATTTTTTGGTGGTACTGGGGTTTGAACTCACAGCCTCATGCTTGCTAGGCAGGTGCTCTATTGATTGTAGTTTCTAAAGATTTGGTAGCAGTTTAAAGGTTGAAGAAAAAAAAAAAAAACCCTACATCAATATTAGGTTCTACAGTTCTCCAATATTTTCTTATTAATCCCTGATCAATAAAGTAGGGTTTAGCTCTATTAACACCAAGTTAAAAAACAGACATATTTCTTCTTAGAAAAGTGTAAATTTTTTTAACAGACCATAGAAAACAGTAACAGTGAGAAAGCATCTAGTACTTCACTTTACTCACAACCAGGTGTAGGCTTCACATCTTTTAACTGATGCTGAAGTTTCTTTACATTGTTATGTATTTTGGCCAATTGTTGCTGGATTTTTGCTCCTGTGAGGAGGAAGTATATACTTTAACACTATAACAAATTTGGTTATAGTTAGCATTTACACATAAGACAGATCACAATGTCTTAGTAAAAGAAACCAAGAATAGTTTAAGCACAAAAAATAGTCATTTATGTCAAGACAATAGAAAACTTTTGGTTTAAATAAAGCAGCTCTCAATTTCCTCCACTATTTAAAAGAACAGTGGGTTAAATCTTATTATAAACCTGTATCCAGGAAATGTATGGAGATTTTGAGTTACTTGACATTGTTTTAAGTGTATGATTAGTAACTTAAGCTTACCATGTTTTATACCTTAAAAGCATTTTATTTTTAATTTCTTATAGTTTAAGCAAATAGAATTTGATCTGAACTCTACTGTGGGAATATTAAGTCTATCTAACCAGTAACTCCAGGTTGGGAGTTACTTTGATTTAAACACATCCTCTAAGTGGGTGGATTACCAGGTGGTGGTACCTGCTGAGGTCACTGTCATGGCCCTGAGGAGGTACCTCCAGGACCCTTCAGTGGCATCTATGTCACAGCTTAACGAAAGGACCAGCCTGGAGTCAAATGTCAGGCCCAGAATAACAGCATCGAAACAAGCAAGGTTCTCGGTCATTTTTAGACGGTCTTTATCAGCAGCAGAAAGACTGGATTTGTCTTCCATATTTTTTTCAGAAGTAATAATCCTAGTTTTTTTATTTATTTAAATTAGTATGCTTATATCATGAATATTTGACTCATACATCTATGTTCACATAATAGTAACACTGTTATTTCATCATTATGCACTTTATATGCACCCTCCTTTTCTGTTTTTGAAAGTTTTCACAAATGAGCATGAAATACCAAAGGCTCTGTCCAAAAGTCCTCTATTTTTTTGCAGTGCTGGGGATCAACCTAGGTCTTTCTATATGCAAGGAAAGTGCCACATCACTGAGCTGTGTCCCCAGCCAGCCCTGGCAAATTTTTTTAACATTTACCTACAGGTTTAGAGCCAAGGCTAGTATCCAAATATAAGCCTCAAAATATGCATATATGATTTTGGCTGGTTCTACTTTTTAAATTAAAATGCAGGAGTTCCATAAAATCAGAAATTTTATCCAATTTACATTAGAGTCTTGCTTACTGTTGGAACTGTAAGTCAGAAACTTCTCTAAAGCCAGGTGTGGTAGGACATACCTGTAATCCCAGCACTTGGAAGGCTGAGGCAGGAGAACCTCAATTTCAAGTCTAGCCTGTGCGAAAACAACCAACTGCTCCAGTAAAGTTGTAGTTTTCTTGATCAGCTATGGCAATATCACTACAGGACAAACAATCTTATTCCATTTATTAACTGGAACTGACATTCTGTACAGCCAAACCACATAAGGGCAACAGATACAAATGAAGGCGAAACTTAAGGCCCAATATTTGAGGTTAGGAATTTACTACTTGAGTGCTGTAATAAATGAGGCAGAAGCTTCTATATTGTTATAATAAGACAATGCTTTCCTTCCCCTCTCAGATAAGCAAAAAGTGTAACTAATGAAAACAACCGGAAAACAACGGGAGATAACAAGGTAAAAGTGCACAACTGGGATGCTCTGCTTAAAGGTATAAACAGGAGATGAAAGATCAGCCTACCAGTTGTCTGCAAAAGAACCAAGGGAAATTAGCAAATATTAAATCATCAATGTGCAGATTTATGTCTGAATTAAAGAGTAAAAAAAAAAAAAAAAAGAGAAGCGTGAACTGGAAACACAGTATTTATGTTAGGCCGTATTGTCACTCTACCAGAAGAGAAAGAATGGCTGCTGCCACTACCTGACAAAAGATGACTTTAAAACAGTGAATTCTTATATTCTGAAAGAAAAAACTTATTAGGAACTTCTTTCAACTGGTGATAAGAGTACCATAAAGAGTGTAATGTCTGCATAATAAGTCAGTATGTTATAAAGCTTAGTTGATAACTATTACTTTTCCTGAAAACAGTACCAAGTAGTTTTTTTATTATAACATACAGAATATAATTCTACAAGGTGTTGTCATAGATTTCCTTAAGGCTAGCATTTATATACTATTGATAGTGGTGAACTCTCATAACAAACATTCTGATCTGTACGGTACTTTCTTGTCTATTCTCTCATGTCAGATGCCCAGAACAGCTCCCCTGAGGTAGGAAGAGTAGAATTCAGAGTGCAGACGAGGAAACCAAGTTGAAGCAATTATATGACTTACTCACTTCAGACAACTAAGTATAGTTTCTAAACCTGCTGAAGTTTACTGAGGCCAGGGAGATGAGCTAAGATCAGATAGCCCAGGAACTGAGCCACTCGTATTTTAAGAAGTTTTAATAGTATTTGCTGGTTTCTCAATTAAAAAAAAACCAAAAAACTCCAAAACCCCAAATTTTCTTTCCTGTTAAATTGGAATATACTTAGAAAACAATCCAGTTAGAATGACTAAACAGTGACCTGAAAGAATAAATACATGTCCATAAAAGACAAACTTATTACCAATTAAAATGTCTTGACAAAAAATGTAACACAGCCGATGCACAAAGACAAAGGCAGGGCAAGACTACTTCATGTCATGACAGTCTTTAGTTCATTATGAACTCAACTTACTTTCTGTTTTCCTGCTGTTAATCAGTTTATTTTCCAATTCTTCCAGCATACTATGCTCAGTTCTGAAGTCACTTTTTTGGTTGTAGAAATGACTGTGTTTATCCTTTTCTATGGTAATAACTCTTTAGAAAAAGAAACAAATGATATAAATATGATTTAATATATTTAACTGTTTTGAGTATGAAGACATACAAAATAATCAGGACCTCATATTCAGATCAATTCACTTCACAAGTAAGACTATAATCATTTTGATTAATAAAAATATTAGTCAAAATAAATAGAGTTAAGTTCAATTAAAATCAAATGTAACATGAATTGTTACTTAAATTATAAAATGTTAACAAAATGTGGATGTAGGCTTTCTTTGAAGAGTCACAAGTTTTTGCTATGGATTACACTCAGTCTTCTGGAGCTTTCAGTGGTAAATACTATGAATTCTGTAACCTTAGCTGAGATTGTAACCTCTCCTGGTGTGACCCTCGTCCCTAACAGGTGAATAGCTCTCTGCTACCTAACAGGACTGTGATTAAAAGCAAATGAGATGCTGGATGGGAGGGGACTTTGTACACACACGTACACGTAAGAGGGAAATACAACTTACTGATATTGTTAACACTAAAACTTCAAGGGGCAACCTGTCTACAAAACAGGAGCTTTGGTACATGAAGGAGATTAGAAATACTAGTCTTGGAAGACATTCTGAATGTGCTAATGGAAACAAACTTCCAAACATGAAAAGATGTTCAATCTCACTTGTAACAGGAGAAATGCACATTAAAACTATACCACAGAAACTGTATCTGTCAGATTAGCAAAAAAAAAAATCAGGGCTGAGGATGTAGCTCAGTGGTAGAGTGCTTGTTTAGCATACACAGGGCTCTGGGTTTGATCCACAGCACTATAAAAAAATAAGTATGTTTTTAATCAATAGCTTAAATAATGTATCCTGTTGATAAACTGTGGAGAAACACATCCTCTCATACATTGTTGATGGGACTGTGAATTGCCTGTGGAGGTCAACTCAACAATATTGACAAATTCCCATGCCTTTGACTCAGTGTTTTCCTCTGGAAATTTTTCCTGAATATTCATTGTGCAAAATAACATAAACCTATGTGCATACTGCAATTAACAGCAACATTATTTATTAAAATTAAAGACTGAATACAACCTAAATGTCTATCAGTATGGGACAGGGTAAATGAACCACGTTGCAGTCACTTACTAGAATACAGTGCAGTGGTGACTGCTTCATGTTCTGATAGGGAATGACCTCCAAGATGACACTTTTTTTTTTCTTTTTTGGTGGTACTGGGGTTTGAACTCAGGGCTCACAATTACTAGACAGGTGTTCTACCATTTAAGCCATGCCCCTAGCACTGGTAACACTCTTTTAAACAAAGTTTTTGTATGAAAATGTCAGACAAGCCTAAAAATAGAGAATGGCCTCTCACATCACTCTGACTTGCTCATTTTCTCTCTCCTTTCACCCATGCTTTCCTTTCTTTGCTTAAGTACTTTACCTGCGTAACTTCACTCCGACACACTTTGTACCATGTACTTGCATACTTTTAGAGATAACAGACATTTGACTCATGTCACTACAATGCCATTACAGTACCTGATAAAATCAGTTCTTTGGTCTCTAAGATATACTCTTTAAGTTAAAAAAACAAACAAAAAAAGCAAGATGTAGAGCAGTGTGTACAGTATGTTCCAATTTACATAAAAGGAAAACTCTAAATATACACATTTGTATTTCCTTACAAACATAAAACACCTGTGCACAGACACACAAGAAACCATTACCATTTCTAGTGGCTGTCTGAGGGAAAGGAGCTAGGTGGCTGGGACAGGGTGAAATGAGACCTCCCACCAGGTTCCCTTTGATACATTTACATTTTGAGCACTGTGAATGTTGTTCTCCAAAAGTGAAACAGAATGAAATTGCTCCTTGTGTTTTTCCTCACAATTCAATGAGAATCGAAACATTCTCCTACTGAGTTTTTCTCCTACTGAGTTGCTGATTTTGTGGGGTTTTTTGTTGTTTGTTTGTTTTGCAGTACTGGGGCTTGAACTTGCTTGCTAGGCAATTTTTCTAGCACTTGAGCCATATCCCCAGCCCAATTTGCTTTTAGTTATTTTTCACATAGGGTCTCACATGTTTTTCCCAGGAACTGTCTCAGACCATGATCCTCTGACCTATGGCCTTCAACACAGCTAGGGATACAGGAGCCCACCAACATGCCTCGCTTATGGATTGAGAAGGGTGGGGGGGTCTCGCTAACCTTTTGCCTGGGCTATCTTGGTCTCCACCTCCCAAGTAGCTAGGATTATAGACACAAGCCATCACACCCAGCCCTGAATTGACACATCTGTGGATCTTAACCATTTAGTGGGCGTTGTGCCATCTAGACTGAAATGTAAGCCAAACCCCTAACCTAGTCCAATTCTATCTAGGGTATTGCATTTTGGAAATAAAAAATAATACTTTCTCAAATTCTAGATATTGAAGAGGTAAGTACTGGCAAATTTCAAGTACACAATACATTGTTATTACCTGTAGTTGCCATCCTGTCCATTAGTGTCCAGAATTTATAGCCTTTATCAACATTCCCATTATGCAGCCCCTTACCCTCACCCACCCCCACTAACCACCTTCTTCTCTGTTTTTATGAATTCAAGTTCTTTAGATTCCACATGTAAGATCATGCAGTGTTTGTCTTTCTGCACCTGGCTTATTTCACTTAGTGTACTGAAAATCCTTTGCTAAGAGAGTAGATCTTAAGTATTCACAACACACACACAAATAGGTAACTATGTCAGGTGATGGATTGTTAATTAGCTTGATAGTGGTAATCATTTCTATGTGTATCTATCAAAAATCACATTGCATACTGCAAACATATGTAATTTTTGTCATTTATACTTCAATAAAGCTGGGGAAAACTATAAAGCATTACATAAATGCAATGAAAATTCAAGCTCCAAAAATGACAATGTGGCATCACTTTTCAAAATTAAAACAATATATTTGTTCCTTGGCAGGACTTCTAAAGAGAACTGCAACTAGTTTTGTTCCAAGGCCATTCCTTACCATAGCCTCCTTTACTAAAGTTCTTTTGGAAAACTGATAGTATGTAAGTTCAAAGACATATTTTACTAGGATAGAGTGGGGTGTTTTAAGTTCTAGTTATTACCATTCCTCATGATTTGTCATACCACGCTGCTACTGACAACAGTGAACACTCAGCATATACCAGTGGTTACTTAGGGAAAAAGCACATGTACTGCACACTCGTCATAATGTACAAAACTGATCTGAGAAGAGCAGAGGCAAGGGAGGGAAACTAATTAAAAGATAATTTGTATAAAAAAATAATTGGAGGATACACTGCTTTCTTTAGTGGTCTCATCCACTTGGCCCAACACGGTCTCCCACTGGAGACCAGCACGGGTCAGAATGAGTAACACAGCTCTCCGTGGCCTAGAGCCCTCCACCAACTGTTCACAAGCACAGAACCTGACCAAGTGTTTCTTCCCTATAATCCTCAACATTCTCACTTGGCAAATAAAATCAATAGCAAGTTATGATGTTCACTGATAAGTCACTTTTATACACATACATAACTATTCATTCACTCAAAAATATTTACCAAGGTGAAAAATGAAAATGCTCAATCTGTTACTTGTTATTCAAAACCTAAAGAAACAGCTATCTTGTTTTCCTTGAAAATGCACTAATCAAATGGTGAGGATACATTACATGGCCTGTACCATTTGTCAATTTCATGCCTCTCACCTTTCTCTTGTTATATTTCACAGGGTAGTGATTAGAATTTTCTAACACTATGGGGTTGGATAAGGTGAAGTCTTTTATAAAATAGCTAGTAATGTTATTTGAAGGTAATATATCATACTTACTGATTTTTAAATTTTTCTGCCGTGCGTATGAATTCTGCTTTCTTTATCCGACTAGCTTTCTGCCTCCAGTTCTGAAGCTGAGGACGAATTCCACCTGAGAACTAAGACAGCCATCGCTCTGCACAAAAAACAAAATGTTATCATCAATAATGAAAATGGTAAGAGATGAATGTGCAGGTTTTTTTTTTTTTTTTTTCAGAGAGGCAAAACACCAACAGAATTTCTTGGGAGATATTTATGGTCAATCTAGTTTTTAAAAAATACACTTTGTAGAAAAAGGAATTTCTATCTTAAGGTGTGAGATTGAGTTGTAAATGCTGTGCCCAGGGATTATTTATCGTAGACTCTAATTCATTTGTCAGTCACTCCTCATTTATGGATTGAACACTGTAATGTGACAGGTACAGTGTTAGAGGTTAGAGAAGCAATGATGATCTACACTGATCTGGACCCTGCCTTAAAGTCTAGTGAGGAAAACGAAATTTACTGAGAGAAGTGCAAACAATAAAACCCACATCACCCATGGTAAGTGTTGTGGGGGAAATAAAAGAGTGCCGAGATGTAGTAAATGGGTCTCAGCTTGTGTTTTCAGTTACAACAGCTACAGGGGGACTATTTGAGAGGTGCTGTTTTGGAAGAACGGATACAGCCACAGCAGAAGCAGCAGGGAAGATGTCCAGGCCAAGCCACCAGCTGTGCAAGGTCCCCATGGCAGGAAAGACTTTGGCTTGTTCAAGCAAAGCAAATGACTGTAGCATGAGATACGCACAGACTGAGTGGCAGAAGAAGTAGGTATCAGGTGCCAGATACACAGATGTTTTAGGTTTTTGAGCAGAGAGATGCCATAGAATATTTAATTCTTTAAGAAAGTCTTTCTGGGTTTTATGTTTTTTTTTTAAAAGAATAAACTGGCATGACTGGAAGTAGGAGGAATAATGAGGTAGCTGATGCAGCAATACAGGCGAGGGCTGATGGGAACTGAAAGAAGACTAATGCATTTTGGAGGAAAACAAGAATTGCTGAACGATGGGATGTGAGCAATAAGGGATAAAGGAATAAGGCTTTGTGTGTCCAGAAGCAGGAACAAAGTAATTGATTTAGGAAATATTTTCAAACTGACATGTAATTCATATACCATAAAATGTTATCTGTGGTTTTAAGTGTACAATTCAGTGGTTTTTCACAAGGTTGGGTGACTATCACCACTATCTGATTCCAGAATATTTTTGCCAGGCCAAAAAAGAAACCCCATTAGCAGTCCCACACACCCTTCTTTTAGTTCCTGGCAACCTTCTCATCCTATGGATTTGCTGATTCTGGATAACTGGGCTCAACATGCAGCCTTCTCTGGCTGGCTTCTTTTACTTAGCAGGATGCTTTCAAGATTCATTCAGGTTGTACCATGAATCCTTCCTTCCTTATTTGGCTGAATAATACTGTACCATATGGATCTACCATATTGTGTTTCTCCCTCATCAGTCACTGCCTGACAGACAACTGGGCTGTTTCCACCATTTGGCCAGTAGGAATAATGCAACTGTGAATACTTGCATTCAAGTTGTAGTGAGTATATTTTCTGTTTGGGTACATCTAGCAGTAGAATTTATGGGTCATTTTAACAACTGGATTGCCCATTTATGAGTTGGAAGTATTCTTTATACACTCTGAATATAAGCCTCTTATCATATCTAGGATTGGCAGACACTTCCCCCATTCTGAGTTTTCTTATCACTTCCTTGACAATGCAATTGAAATACAAGTTTTTAACTTTTTGAGGAACTACCAAACTGTTTTCCACAGCAGCTGCTCCATTTTTCATTCCCCCCTAGCAACAAACAAGGGTTCCAATTTCTCTACACCCTTGACTATACTTGCTATTGTCTGAGGTTTTTTAAGGCAGCCATCTTAATGAGTGTGGAGTGGTATCTCACAGTGATCTTGATTAGTCCACAATGACTAATCTTTTCAGGTCCTAATTGGTCGCTTCTTTGAGGAAAGTCTAATTAAAGCATTTCTTATTCTATTTTTGGAAGAAAATCACTTTATTCTAAGCTGGTTTTAAGGAGGCCAAACATTTGCCCAATTCCCAACTCTATACCATCTCCATGAATCCTGCACAGTAGGAACACCATTTCCATTCTGAAGCAAAGACTCTATTAACAATGGGAGAGATTTAACTGGTGAGCTTACCAGTTGTACTTTTACTACCAGTTATATTTTTATGCTAAAGTAACTTGGTCAGCAGACCTGGTTTTCCATTTCTTCAATTTGAACTTCACTAGACTAATCCACTTGCAAGTCTAAACTTGCAAGGACCTCACTGAAACCCTCAGAGTTTAAGGTTACCCTGGTTCAGGGTAAACCTCAAAAACCATTTTATGTTGAAGACTATTTACAGGGATAGGAACCAGAGAAGAAAACAAAGGACAGTGATGGGGGGTGAATAAGATCAAAGTACATTATATGCATGTGTGGAAATGTCACAGTGAAACCCATTTTGTACAATAAATTAAAATGAAAATCGTTTATCTCATAAAAACAAGGGACACCAAACTGTTGCATGGGCTGGGTTCCCTAAGGATCCTGGTAAGTGACGTCAGGCTTTGAAGATCAGCATTACTTCCCTCACTGAGGCTGCCAGTGACAGCACAACCCAGTGAGTGCCCAACAGCAGAGCCAGAGCCACACCACGGCAGTGGTTGCTACCCGGGCCACCACATCTGGCTGTAGGGCACAGCAGGTGAGCCAACTGCAGACAGTGTGGCTGAGCACAGCTCTCTGCTGGGGACCCGGCTGGCTGCAAGACTCATGACACACGTGGCATCAGCTGGCATGTAGCAGCCTAAGTGCACAGCTACTAGCCATCCATGGGCTGCTCCTGCAGTTGCCTTTTTATTGTTGAGTTGTAAGATATATATTAATTTTTATGGGAGGCCATTATTTTAGACTGAGTGTTAGGTCCCCACAGAGCAGATCAAACCAAAATGGAGTTACTTATGCTAAGTGCTACAGAATCAAATAGAAATTTTAAGGAAGCTGGTAGACTCCCAAACAGATTTAGTTTTTCACTCAGCCAATCAGAAAAGGCCCATCAGCCTGAGTCAGTAGAATAAGTAAGTCCTTTTTCCTTTAACTCTTACAAGTTATTCTGGTTCCTTCTTGTCACCTTACAAAACCCACTGCTTTGTTATACCCTGTGGGAATTATTTTATTTTAGTAGAATGGAGTACTTTCATGTTGTGACAGCCAGAGGGGCCCTCCCAAGATGCTGCCCTTAGACTTTCAGCCTCCAAAATCCTGAGCTAAACAAAAATCTTTTGCTTTTCAAGTTCTCAGCCTCATAAAATCTGAGGCTGGGAACAGAAAACAGAAAAACAGATTAATACAGTGCCAACGGTTAACACAAGGACCATGGCTTCTGATGGATTAGTATTACTGAGGACTCCTTGTATGTAATGAATTGCTCCTTGGTGCTTCCAAGATTTTCCATGTTGTCTTTTCTTTTGAAAGTTCCATTATGATCTGTCTAGGAATGGATTTCTTTGAGTTTATTCTACCTGTAGTTCACTGGGCTCCAACAAAGATTAAGTTAATGTTTTCCTTTAAACATGGTAAGTTTACTGACATTCAAACATCCATTTTTCCCAGCCACTTTCTCTTCTCTTTCTGGAATTATCAGTATTTATATGTTAGTAAGTTTAATGTTGCCTCAAGGTTTCTGACCTTCTGTTTATTTGTCTTTGTTCTTTTTTTTCTTCCTGTTCCTCAGTTTGGAGAATCTGAGTGGACCTACCTTCAAGTTTTCTGACTTTTTCTGCCAGCTAGCCCTGGTTTTGAGTCTCTCTAGAGAAGTTTTCATTGACTTTTATACTTTTTAACCCCAAGATTTCTACTTGATATTTTAATAATGTTTATCTTTGTGTAGATATTTTCTGTTTGGTGAAACATCATTCTCATGTTTTCTTTTAGCTCCTTAGGCTTCGTTCCCTTTAGCACATTAAATATATTTAGATAGCTGATTTGGGCTGGGCATGCTGGCACACATGAGCTGAAGTCCCAGCTATCAGAAGAACAAGGCAAGAGGATCACTTGAGCCCACAAGTTTGAGTCCAGCCTGGGTAACAGAGCAAGACTTCACTTCAAGGCAAAAACAAAACAAAACACCCCAAAACCTAAATACGAAAAACCCCACAAAATAATTGACTTAAAGTCTTTGCCTAGTACGTCCAGTAACTTCTCTTCCTCTTTACCATTTTCCCAGTGTGTGAACCATACTTAGTTTCTTTGTATCTTGTAATTTCTTTTTGTTAAAACTGACATTGAATCTAATGTGGTAACTCTGAAAATGAGATTCTCAGGTTTGGTTTGTTGCTGTTGGTTTGTTGGCTTAGTGACTTTCCTAAACTAATTCTGTAACATCTGTATTCTTAATCTTGGATGGCACTGAAATTTCTGCTTGGCTAGCTTAGCTGTCAACTCAATCAGTCAGAGATGTCCTTAGATGCTTTGAACCTGCAAGTTGCCTAGCCTCTGGGAGAGGGGGCCGTGTGGCATGGTAGAGCACACCTTCAACACAGAGGTAAGACATTTTCAACTCTACCTCAGCCTTCACTCTCTGCCTGCGTAGAGCTCCAAGGTCAGCCAAAGATGAGGACTTAGGACCTCCTCAGGTCTTTCCTGGCATTTTCTGTTGTTATTGTAACAAATTAGTTTGCCACAAACTAAATCACAAATGTATTCTTTTGGGCTTCTGGCAGTCAAATCTATAATCAAGTTGTGAACCTAGGGGACATTATGCTATGTCCTCTTACTTACATATAGAATCTTTTTTTAAAGGTGATCTCACATAAGAAGAGAGTACAATGATGGTTACCAGAGACTGGAGGGAAGTAGGAGGAAGGAAGTGAGAAGGAGTTGGTCAAATGGAAATGGTACACTTCCAAATAGGAGGAATAACTTCTGAGATTTTGAGATCTATTGCATAGCAAGTTGACTATAGTCAGTAAAAATGTATATTTCAAAATAACTGTGAGAATAAAATTTCAAATGTCTGACCACAAAAAAATGGTCAGGGAATGGATGAGTTAATTATCTTGATTTAATCATTCTATTCTGTATATGTATAGCAAAACAGCATTACACTCCATAAACATAAATAATGATGAATTGCTCATTAAAATAATATTAGTAAAAATAAATAAAATCCTGTCAGGCACCGGTGGCTTGTGCCTGTAATTGTAGCTTCTCGGGAGGCAGAGGTCAAGAAGATCCCTGTTCAAAGCCAGCCCCAGGCAAATAGTTTGCAAGATCCTATTTCAAAAATACCCAACACAAAAACAGGGCTGGTGGAGTGGTTCAAGTGGTAAAGCTCCTGCCTGGCAAGTGTGAGGCCCTGAGTTTGAACCCAAGTACCACACACATGCAAAAAAAAAAATTAAAGTAAATAAATAAAATCCAGGTGTTAGCAGGGCTGCACTCCTTCTAGAGGTTCCAGGAAGAATTCATTTCCTTATCTTTTTTTCTTGAGACTGCCTTCACTTCTTGGCTCATGTCACTCCATCCACACTTCTGTCATCCTGTCTTCTACAACTGACCCATTTCCTTGCCTCTGTCTTAGAAGAACCTTTGTGATCACACTCGTCCACACACATAATCCAGGAAAATCTCCCCAGTTTAAGATCTACAAAGTCCCTTTTATGATGTAAGGTTACATACTCATAGGTGCTGGGCGTTAGGACATAAGTAGCCTTGGGGGTAAGGGGGCCTTATTCAGCCTACCACACTGGTCCTACACACAGTCCTGTGCATGTGTGCATACCTTTTAGAGGAAGACCATAACAAAAGATCATTTAAGTCAAACAAGAATTAGTTCTTACTGAAGGGCTACTCTAGACAGCCAAGGGACATAATGTTTATACCACTAGAGGGTAGGTCACTAAAAACAAAAATAAGACACCACACTATCCTGGTGCAAAACCTGGCACACAAACAATAGTGTGATGCTGTTAGACGTACTTTAAGAAAGTCCCAATTCAATAAGCAGAATGATCAAGAGAAGAGTTCCTAGGAACAAGCAGCAAACAGTACTTGAGAGCAGGGTAAAGAAATTTGTGGTCTTTAGTCTTAAAAGGCAATGGCTGAGAGGATATGAACAAATAATATACAAATATTACAATATATAAATATTACTTTTCATAATAGATGAGAAATATATGACAGTCTATATCCTAAGAAGACTATAAAATATAATATAGTTCCAGAACATCAAAGAAAATTACTCCAAAATAACTTAAGAGAAGTGTAACAGACTAAACTCTGTACACCCAAAATTTATGTCGAAAGTCCTAACCCCCAAAGTGACTATATTTGGAGAGAGAGCCTTATGGAAGGTACTTAAATAAGGGGTGGAGTCCTAACCTTACAGGATTTCTGTACTTATAACAAAAGAGGAGATGTCATAGATCTCTCCTTTCACGAACATGGAGAAAAGCCATGTGAGGACACAGCAAGAAAGTGGCCATCTACAAGCCAGGAAGAGAGGCCTCACTAGAAACTACCCCTAACAGTGCACTGCTCTCTTGGATTTTTTATCCTCTAGAGTTAGGAGAAAATAAATTTCCGTTGTCTTAGTTACCCAGCTGTGGTATTTATGGAAACTCTAGCTGACAGAAATTTTAGATATTTTGGTAGATACTTCTAATATCATGGGATTGTCATCACAAAAGCTTTCTGTTCTCAAGAAAACATTTGTTGGCTGAATTATACTACAGCAGGGATAGTAAGATGCTCTGGGGGTGTACTGTATACTTTCCAGTTTTCTTCATTTCTAATTTTTCATTTCTTGGAGTTGGTTTCCATTTCACCTCAAGGATTAGACTTGTGAAGGAACACATGTGATGGGGATAGTAGTCTTGAAAGGAGACATATGGTACACATTCAGAAAGGGGAGGGAAGAAGGACTTCCATTTTGATATTTTGCTGGAGGTGGCCAGTTTTGTTTCTCCTGGTGAAATCTGACCCACTTGCCACAGTGGCTCCCAAGGAACTGCTGTTGGGGGTGGCTCACCAAAAGTTGAACTTCGTGTGACCTTGTAGGGAATATGGAAATGAAAGCCACAAGACTGAGGGAGGACTGACTGCTCCTTCCATCTTGGGAAGACCCAGATGGTTCTGCACAAGCAAAAATCACTGGAAATTCCTATAAAGACACACCTCTACCAACCCATCTCCAGACAACTGAATGGTAGATGACAGCCCTTCTCCAAAGCACCAGTAGGATGTTCTGCTTTCACCACAGATTTTATAAACTCATTTCATTTTTGGAACCAGCATTAAGAGTCCAGGTCCCTTTTGCATAGAACCTATATTCTTCTGTTTTTTAAAATATAATTTTGTTTCATATTTAAGGCCCTTGGATTAGTCAATGATTCAGGTTCAGCCTTACTTGAACCATTTGGCATTACAAAAAGAAAAATGTTTATTTGTGTTTTAAATAAAACTAGTGTAGGAAAGAAAACAAATCATTTGTTGGTTTTAGTGTTGGTAGGAATCAGTTAATCACACGGCAAATATTCAAGTTCAGTAGTAGGCTGCAGTAGTTGTGTGTATAAATGTGTCTGCGTATGGTGTATAGGGGAGTACAAAGACAGATAACACGTAAACTCCCCAAAAATAGCACAACACAGTATAGCAGTGATTCTAACTTTTTTTTTAAGTGCCAATACATTTGAGGACTTTGACTTCATTGCTTCTGTGATTCTCAGCTGTGGGCTCTGCTTTCCCTACTAAAGTGGTAAGTAGGTATTTAAAGCAGGGTTTCTCAACCTCAGCATTCCTGACATTCTTCTTTGTAATTCTTTGTGGTGGTGGTGGGGGGGGCCATCCTCTGGTCTCTACCTATTACGTGTTAGTAGTAGGTGTTCACATCCCTTCCCCTTTGTGACAACTAAAAACGTCTCCGGACATTGCTAAATGTCCCCCAAGGATTAATACCATATTTGATTTAGCTCCACAGGTGATTCTGATCCAACCCTGGGAAGGCAAACACCACTTCAGAGAATCACTGTAATGCAGTGATGAAAGTGTACACCAATAACACTATTAGGCAGGAAATGCAAATCAGAGTGAAAGAATTTAGAGAACAAACTCCATCAGACCACAGTAAGCCAGAGAGTTTTCACCAATGTGGCTAAACCACTGAGAGTCATACATTTTTACTGTTACTTTTTTTTTTTTGAGAAGTGTCTTACAATGCAGCCCAGGCTGGCCTCAAACTCGGGATCCTCCTGCCTCAGCCTCCAGAGTGCTGGAATTACAGGTGTGAATACAGGACTACACCACACGCCCACTTGTTCATACATTTTTAAAGTACATATTTAAAATATTTCACATACTATGTATGTATGTATTTATACATATATGCATTATATTTCTCCTGATACACTTGGGCCAGAGTTAGAATAATGAAGAGAAAAACAAAGGGTATGTGAGAGAATTTGCCTAAGGTGGAATTTCCTGAACTGCACATTTGTGCAGAGGAGCCTGTCCTCTGCTCAGACAGCTTTCCTTCAAGTTTGGAGCTATCCACAAATATTTCTAGTATTCCTAGGCACACAAGAGGCACAATTCTTGGTGCTGGTAATACAATAATGAATAAAGCTTCCCAAAATTTCTACCTTGATGTAAGCTTACATTCTCACTGAGACAGAAAGGCAATTTAAAAATAGGAAATCATACGGAAATAGTGCTATGGAGAAAAATAAAAGCAGAAAAGGGGGCTGGGTGTGGTGGGTAAGGAGATTCGGTTTAGAAAGATCGGGGTTGGTCTCCCCCAGCTAAAAGCAGAAAAGGAAGCTGGGTGTGGTGGGTTGGGGGTTCGCTTTACAGAGATCCGGAGAGTCTCTCCGAGCTGAGCTGATGGCTTCCCGGGCGGGTCTTGGAGGACATCTCAGCCTCGCCCCCGCCCTCCTCTTATTCCTCCTGGGGATGCTAGCACCGGTTCAGTAGCAGCGCTGGGTCTCCTCTGTGCCCGGGGATCCGGACACGATACCCACAGCTCGGCAAGTGCACAGCAGCTCCGACTGTTAGAGGAGAAACCGAGTGGCCGAGCCGTGTCCCCATCAACACCCGCGCGCAGGTGGCCCTGTGACAGCTGTGAAACCACAAACCAGCAGCGCAGCTCGGTGCACAGGTCGAGGGCCGGGGCGGCCCACACGGCGTCCCCCCCCCACAACCCCGAGCCTGCAGCCCCCGCGGCCCCCGGCCTCCTCCATTTACCTGTTGCGGCGCGGGCGGTGCTCCCACGCTGCTCCCGGTGGCCGCGCCCGCCCCCGCCACAGCCCCGGCTACCGCAGTGGCCGCCGCCGCCACCACGACCGTCGTCAGAGCGGCCATGTTTTGTCGCCGAGCCGCCGGGCCTGGGGCTTCGCACCCCGCGAACTCCCCCTCGGTTGCTGCAGACGCTCCCAGAGCCAAGGGGTTGGGATGCAGAGCGTGGCCGACGAGGGGGCGGAGCGGAGACGCGGGGGCGTGGCCAGCACGTTGGGCGTGACCTTGAAGGTGTGGTGGGGCCGGCGTGCCAGGCGAGGCGGAAGTTCCAGGCCTTGGAGAGGCGGGGCCAGGGCGCAAGGAGGCGCTAAGGCGCGGGGCGTGGCAGGGCGGAGACGCGGGGGCGGGGCCGAAACGCAGGGCGTGGCCGCGGAGAGGAGGGGCGGGGCTATAGCGCGAGGCGGGGGTGAAGTGGAGTCTCGATTGGGCGTGGCCCTGTTGTTTGGGGTCTGCTTAACCTTTTTGCGGAATTGATAGCTGACCTGTTCTCCCACCCCCATAGCTGCCAAGGCAATTCATCGTCTTACGTTGTCTTCCTTAAATTTTATTCGTGTCATACCCAATGTCTATATTTTTTACATGATACAACTGTTCTCTAGTTTCTCTATAGTAAGTGCAGGTGAACCTGAGTATATGATAAACCATTGTCAATGAGTTCTAACATAAATTTCGTATTTTCAAAGAAAAAAAGCATGCCTAGCAGAAAGCAGATATCAGAGGCAGGAATGCCATAGTTGCATTCCTAGAACTTGGGCAATTAAAAAAGATCCCAAAGACAACTGTGTTCGGAAGTTGAAAACAGAAAAAAGAAGAATGACTCCTGCAGCCAGGCAATGTAGCAATGGAGCTAGAAGTCTCTAGGTTCTACCCTCTCCTTAAATAGATCCATTCATTTGCTCTTTCTAGCTTCTGTTACATGCCAGGTACTGTTCTAGGCTTGGGACTTCATTGTTGAATACCATACACTAGGTTCCTTGTCTCATGACTCTAGGGAATTTAAACAAGTAAAGAAATTGGTTTTTACTGAGCAATTACCATGTGTCGGCCCTGTCCTAGGTGTTTTGTGTACACATTCCCATATAATTCTTGCAAATAGCATAATGGTGCAGGTGCAGTTGTCATGTCCACTGCATGAATAAAGTCAAAGAAGACAGGAAGATGCTAAGATACAAACCCAGGTCCTTGACTTAGAGAATCCCGGTGCAGACATCAAACAGGCATTTGGATAAGTGCTTCTGGATCACAGGAGCATTCTTGAAGCCAAGGATGTGAATTTGGATTTCATCTCCATACAGAAGATGTTTAAAGTAAGATTATATGAGAATACTACGGGGGATGCAAACTAAACTTGATAACTAAGTCTGGAACTTTGCAATGTAGCTGATTGCAGACCAAAAAAAGAGACTAAGGAGAAGTCTGTGAGGAGGGAGGAAAGCCAGAAGTCTAAGAAAGAAAGGGTTTCAAGGAGAGACTGGTTAACCTTGTGATCCACTGCCCAGCAACAGAGGAACGGTGGTTGGATTTCCATTAAGGGGACTGTGAGCCACCTGGCAAGAGCAGGTGTAAGAAAAATAATCTTTTCTATCAAAGTAATTGTTACCCTTTCAGATTACGTAAAAATTTCTCAGGTCGCCATCTTAGGTGACTTTCATGTTTAAATGGTCTTGCTTCTTCTTCTGGATTCCTGTACAACTCCATTGCCCACCAAACTGCATGCCCTAACCCATCCCCCAAGCCTTTTAGCCAATTGGAAAGATTGTGAACCTTTGACCTGGACAATCCCAGGTGAGGGGCAGGTACGACTGTGTCAAGGATATAAGGAGGAGCCACTGTCAGCTATTTTGTGCTTGTGTGTTTGCTCAGCTGGAGTGAGCACATGCTCGCACCCTTTTGATCAAAAGAAATTGCCTTGTCAAGATTTTCTGTCTCTTGTGTGTCTGTTTTCGGCACTGGAGGGTTATCAATTCCAACACAGGTGGGTGGTGAGACCATGCCTGCTTGAGTGGGTTGAGGAGATGATCAACTGAGGCAAGGAGGTAGAGATGGAAGGTTTTGACTATTTTGTCTGTGATCAGAAAAATGAGGTAGTAGCTGGAGGAAGATGTGTGATGGGGGAGACTTTGTTGTGTTGTGCTTCAAGGTGGAGACTAGGAAAAGGTGTTTGTGTGCTGCCGGGAATGGCCATCGGAGAGCAAAACTTTGATGCTGCAGAAAAGGGAGGCAACCAAGCCCTCTTGAAGGCAAGATGGAGTCCAGAGCACAAGCCAAAGGTATAGTCTTATAGGGCACAGACTCTTCCTGATGGGGGAAGCCAGGGCTGGAGAGACCCTCACAAATGGGTTGTAGCAGGAGGAAGTCACTTGGTATAATGAGAAGGTAAAATCTTTCTAATTCACAGAAAATGTAGCCTGTTGCTAGCACCATACAAATTCCTGAAACTGTTAGTCCAGAATAATCTTGCAGCCTTAGGCAATAATAAGTCGATCAACAATTTGAATTGTGTAGTCTCTGTAAGAAACAACACTATACCAGATACTGTAAGGGAAAATCAGAACAACCACCAAACTGCCCACTGAGTTTAAGGTTTTTAATGACTTAGGGGGATGGAAAATTAAAAAAGAAAAGAAAAATCTGACAAGCAGAAAGCCAAAGCAGACCTTTGTGACCTGTGAACTAAGCATCTGTCTGTGTCCTTACTTCTAGGCCCTCTTAGTGATGAGAGCCATGAATACATTTCTATTGCACAGTTTCACTTTTTATGTTTTGTTCTGATTCTAACTCAACATGACAGTTTTGTCTTTCTCTAACTTTTTAATATTTGCATTTTTTTCTTGCACTGAAAATCTTTGTTATCTTGCAATGATCATGTAATTTCAAATTATAATTGAATCACCATTAACAATAAATCTACTGAAAGAAATTTAAGAACCTTCTGTAGTTTTTTTGTTTGTAGTAGTTTGTTTTTTAGTTTGTGGGGAGCTTTGTCCCTAGGCTATGTCCTGCACAGGACATGCAATTAGGCTGTGTCCAAAAGTCTTCTGCCATCACCTCTTTACCTCTTCTCCATGGGGCTATGGAATCGAGTTGATTCAGTTAATTCAATTTCAGTTCTTTCGGTTATACTTACACTCAACTTCATCATCACATTTTTTGTTGTTTTGCTTTTGATTTACTTTTTAAAATACATGTAATATGTATAACATATATAAAGTCAAAACCACATGACAACATATGTTTAAAGAACTCTTGATTCTGAACCAGGGATGTGGCTCAAGTGGTAGAGTACCTACCTAGCAAGTATGAGGCTCTGAGTTCAAACCCCAGTCCCAGAAAAATAATTATGTAAAGAAGTCTTGCTCCTAAACAAATCCTCTCCTTGCTATTTCAATTGATCATCTATGAGTAACATTTTTGTTAATTTTTGGCTTGTTCTTTTGTGGTTTTTTTCTTGCAAAAAAAATAAGTGTACATATAAATTCTTGTTTTTCCTTTCTTCTTACAAAAACATGTGGCATATTGTATTAATTTCCTAGGGCTATCATAACAAAGTACTATAAAGTGGGTGGCTTAAAACAACAGAAACTTACTCTCTCATAGTTCAAGAAGTACAAAGCCAAGGTAGCAGGTTTGGTTCTTGGAGACTTTCAGAGAAAATCCACACCTAGCTTCTGGTGGCTGCCAACATCCTCTGTGTCCCTTGGCTTGTGGAAGCATTCCTACAATCTCCATTTTTACATGACCTTCTTCCTGTCTGTCTTTGTCCCCAAATTTCCCTCCTTCTAAGGACAGCAGTCATTATCCCATAGTGATTTTAACTTGATTACAACTGCAAAGACCGTATTTCAAAATAAGACCAAATACACAGGTGTCAGGGCCAGAATTTCAGCATAACACTTTTGGGGACACAATTCATATCATTTGTAATACTCCACACCTTACATTTTTTTCATTTGACAATGTATTCTGGAACTCACTTTGTATCAGTTCACAGAAAGTTTTCAACTTTTTAATGGAAAGGTAATATTTCATCATTTTATTCAAACAGTATTCTACTGGTAGATATTTGGATTATTGTCAATCTTTTGCTATTGCAAATAATGAGTCATAAGTATTTCATACTTGGGAAAGTGAATCCTCAGTGTATTTGCTAGGTCACAGGACGCCTGCACATCACCTAGTTACATATTGCTAAATTCCTCTGCAGTTACATATTTTGCAGTACCACTAATGACCTGTGGGGGCGCCTGCTTCCCCTTCCATCACAGTACTTGTTTAAGGTTTGGGATTTTTGACAATTGAAATAGGTACTAAATGGTATCTCTGATAATTTTAGTATGCCTTTTCCATATTATGAGTGCAGGTCAGCTCTTTTTGTAAGTTGAAGAACATCTGGGTTTTTTTTTAATTGTTGACATCTTTTTCTTATTGGCACTTGGTAATTTTACCCATTTTTAAGAGTTCTTTATGAATGAAGAGATGAAGATATAATTTTGTGATATAAATTGCAAATACTTTTTCTAGATTTTTTTAATCTATAGTGGGACTTTTTCCCTTTCTTTCCTTTGGAAAATTCTTTTTTATGTAGTCAGATTTGCCGATTTTTGTTATTTTCTTTGATTCTTCTGGATTTGTAATTGTCCCCAGAAAGGAAAGGCCTTTCTTACTCTCAGTTTATTGTAAGATGAGTTCTTGTTTTCTTATGTGGTTTCACTTTTGCATTTAAAAAAAAAAGAAAGCTAGATTATCGGATTTCATTCTGGTATCCAGTACGAGGTATGGGTCTAATTTTACTTTTTCCCAAATGGTTGTCTAGATATGCCCACATTTATGAAAAAGAGTATATATTCACTCATGGTGTTTGGTGTCATTTGTCATATGTAACTGTTCTGTTTCTGAGTTTTCTATTCTATCCTTCAATGTGTTTATGTGTTGATGAGCAGACACTATAAAATTATAGTAACATCGTAATAATAATTTATAGGACTAGCTCCTCTATGTGTTCTTTTTATTCCAAAGTTTCACTACCTGCTTGATGACGTTCATAAGAACTTTAGAAATCAGTACTCTACTTGGTGGAAAACAGAGGACATTTTTATTGGGCTCACAATAAATTAATTTAACTTGGAATGAATTAACATACAGATAGATAGAGCTGGCCTATTCATGAATAAGACATGCCTTTACATTTGTTTAAATCTTTTTTCATTTTTGAAAAGTAACCATTTTCTTTTATTGTTAAGTT